AAAAAAAGTTTTTATTGTCTGTTTGCCCGTTCTCTGTTATTCGTTCTGTGTGGACGCTTCCTAAAAACGCGAATAACTTCAGAACCGGCCACGAGATATTGGCGTCTGTCTTTTTTTTGCAATTTTCTTCTGTTTTTCGTACATCGCTATGAAACACGATAAGTGTCCGAGATTTGCAGCTATTTCAATATTGGCCCCCATATAGAGTTTAGTACCCTAATGCGACTTAGTGAAATTTGGTGGGGGCGGTGGCTAGGGGGTCGGTAAATATTTTTAAAAAATTAAAAACAGTATAGATGATCGAAAAAATTCTTGACCCAGAAGACGTATGAGGTGGTGAAAATTATTTATTCTTGATGATTTATTAAAAATGGATAGGGTGCGCCGGCAAATTGCAAAAAACTGAAAATTAGGTTCCCCTTATATGGACAATTGACAATAACTAAAAGGCTGGTTTTTTCTTCTAGAAAAAACAAAATTTCTTGAAAACTATTAACTTGATCGGCAAATTATTTTAATAAGAGACGCGGAAGATTCGGTACTATAACTTTAATTTCAAACATTTTTTGATTATGTACAGTGTTTTTTAATTATAGACAAAAATTCTTTTCGTCATTAAATTATTAGATATAAAACAAAATTCGTCAAAAATATGGTCAATTGGTTTAAACAGTGTTACAGGTCACATCGACAGCTACAACTTTTGTATTTACAGTTTTCGTCTATCACATACACTGTTCGAGATATTTGAAAACATCCAAATGAAAATCACTATTTCACGCTGTCAATCTAAACGCGATGACGTCATTTACTATTACTACGTACTGCATCTTCCAGGGCTATTACCTCTATATCGAACATTGTTTAAATTATGTGCCGGGTGTGTCGTTTATGAACAAAAAATCTAAAATAACCTAAAAATTTCCGTTTTTTTGGATAAATTATTGGGGATAAATGAAAAACTTCTGAAGATCCCTTAATTTGATTTGAACAGTATCGTAGACTGTGTCGAGAAAGAGTTTCAGATTTCGTCAATTCTACAGGGCGCGCGAGATATTTGAAAAAATATCATTCGACAACGCCATTATTTGTACAAATTTTGATATTTAACAAAGTTTGCCGTGACTTTAAGTTCTGCGAGACGTGAAAGACACTTTATACAGGATACAATACGTCCCTGTAGGACAAGCGGCTTCATTTTGAAATACAAGGCTGCTTCGCCCTATGAGATACGAACTTGTTTTATTACAGGCCTGTTAGGCAAATAATGTTTTTACATATTTAGTTGTGGAGTTTCCCCTATCGAGTAGGAGGCTGGGACTGCCCACGTGCGGGTGTTGAGTGCGAGTACTGAGCCAACATTCCACCTTGGCTTGGTTCCCGGAACATTAACAGACAGCTGTGTAATGTTCGGAACAGCTTAAGGTTTTTGTAACTTCAGTGGCCTGTTCTTGCAGCCTTGTTTTGCACCGCCAAAACTTGAAAGTGAGATTTGACACTTACACCTACCACCAGGTTCGAGGGAATAAATTATTGTTTGCGATTCACTTGTTTATTTCCTTCACGGGTGGAACTTCGGGTTGTTAAGTTTAGCTTTTTGAATCACGTGGCGCCTACCTACCACCTTCTGGGACTGACCGAGGTGCCCTTTACCGTCTTCCAACTTGGGCTTCTATTTAGTAATTTTTTTTTACCTTATTAATTTTTCTTTTTTGTTAGTGAACTAGCCTGGGCAGTGTCTTACCCTGAGATCGAGAGGTAAGATGATACAAAGAAAATTGCAGACAGCAATTCCCTATTAAAAAAATGATTTTGCATCATCGCCATTTTCGATTGGGTTTGCAAAACAACAGTCCCGCAAATATGTATAAAACAAAGGGTTTTGCGGGAGCAGATCGGGTCTTGTTTCCAGAGAAGAGCTTTAACGGGTGTAACAATAACTTTGAAACAAAAAGAGGAACAAATTTTAAGCGACTGCGGTGAATTCATAAAAAGAAAAAACGACGGCCAAGACGTGACCGAAGTGAAATATGTTTCTACCGAAAATCGACTTAGGAACGAATTTAAACGAATCTGTGGTCTTTTTTTCCTGCAAAAGAACGTGGCCAACAATCCTTACCGACTTCATATCCTTTTTTAAGAACGTATTATGAAATGACAACTGTCCAACGGCGGTGAATCTAAACCAAATTCATATATTTGATAAATCCAACGGAATTTGCCTAAATGTGTATGTTATAGAGTAAATTCAAAACCACAGTAAATGTTTTTATTCAGTGTTACCGGACCGTTTAACTAAAGACAAACGCGAAAAAAATGTCAATTTAATATTATTTTAAAATAAGCATTATACAAAAATTAATGATTTTGATCCGGTACCGACGACAAAGAAACTTCGCCATTTGTAATCTACGCCGATTTCGAAAGTCGACTTAAAGATCTAAATTTTATGATTTCAGACAAAATGAGAAATATGCATGAGGCATTATTGGTATTGGTATTGGTATTAAAGGGGGGCGTCCAAGAACTTAGGCCACCAGACGGGCCCGTTGTGCCCCCAGGCCGCTCTAGAGGGCGTCCAGAATGCCGCCCCTCCTATAGAAGGTCAGCCCAATACCGTGCACTGAGTCCGGATCGATCAGGGCCGTTCCGAAAACTCCCAATCTTGCCCATGTCAAGGCAGGGCACTCAAGCAAGCAAGCAAAGATGCCTTCTAAGCCAGCAATGTCCTGTGTACGCCCCTGTTAGTGCTCTACACTCTCTTCTGGTCAGTCTAAGCAGCTCCCTGGTCCGAGGAAGGGCGGGCCCATCCATCATAAGCCTCGCCTGCCTCATTCCCCGAGCAACTCTCCAGCCCACCGCGGCCCGGTCTCTCGCCCAGGCTTCGAGAGCTCCCCGCCTCACACACGGGGCGATCCCCAACCGGGGCTCTGACCCTATATGCCTATGCGAGCAGCCCACTCTGGCTAAGGCCTCCGCTGCCTCATATGCATGAGGCATATAGTGAGTTTCCTCTGACGACGATGTGTACTTGGGAACTTCATCTCTGCCATCGTCACTTCCATCGCTAGTATAGTCTCCGTTAGGGTCATCCAAGCAACAAGTCGCAGTAGCCGCGGCGGAAGGCTCGATCCCCAAACTCGGGAAATTTCCAACCATAATTCCAATGACCTTCACCAAGCTTCTGGCTTCTTTCACAAAAATTGAAGGGAATCGAGGCCTGACAATAGGAACCGATCGAAAACTAGCAAAACAAAATAACCCTAGGCACAATACCAACCTAACACTTCCAAACCAATACTTCAGAAAGCCGGAACCGAACTACTACGGACTTCGATAGAAAAATCTACTGCTTCGCTGTAAAGCAGCTTTGTATAACGTTAAAAAATGAAACCCATCAGAAATCAAATCCGAATTTGTAATTTTCGTGAGCTATGCAACCAGTATTTTACCAACCCACAGAAGCCGCGCTAAGCCAGTAATCGGCGTTAGCCACGTTGACTAAGGACTCTCGCCCAAATAATACGGCAGTAATAATCTTTAATAAATTAATATCTTAAATACGCCAATAAAGGGTAATAATAAAACGGAACCGTGACAAATTAAAACACAACGGGATAAAATTAAATTACACACAGATATTCCTCTCAATGAATTTTTAATGGCTTTAGATTTTACACTAAAATCCACATTTTTTCAATATAAAAACATGTTCTATAAACAAGTCGAAGGTTGTGCCACGGGTATGTCAATTTCAAGCATAGTTGCACAACTTGTTATGGAGTATCTAGAAGAAAATGTTATTAAAAACATTCAATTCAATTTAACTTTTTTAAATTTTAAACTAACAAAATTAAATTATCCAATATAATAAAAAACATCCGTACCTGTTTTGCATCCCACTCCAATCTGTATAAAATATTCGCTGACTTTTTTTTTTAATATATTAACACAACGTTAAATGTCATTAATTGTTATATATGTCACCTATACAAAATAAAAATATTTTGCAAAAGATCGAAATTACGATCGAAACATTAATAAATATTTAGAAGAATCACATTAATTGTTTTCGAGAGACCGAATACCCAAGAGAAATTGAAGAAAATATACACGCGACGGTCCAAGAAACTACGGCATATGGCAACATTGCCAAACACCTGTCAGCGAAGCGAAGGACGTAAACAATGCCGGCAAACCAAATACTAAAAGTCTTCCACTTCTACGTCGAGAACCAGGAGATGTGTACAAATAACAGCCAGGTAAGTAATAAAATGCTCCCTCTATGCATAACAAACCAGATACAGGGAACAGCAACCAACTAACCTAAAACAACCACGAGCATGTCTTCTCTTAGAGCCTTGGATACCGATTTGATCGCTCTCCTTTTAAGGAGCAACAACTAGAATAGAGACAGGCAATGCTACGGAGCCTCGAGTGCGAGGGATGTCGCAGGAATATACCAGGACGAACGAAAGCAATGGCTACAATGACCGTTACAACTCCGAGCAGCCTCTAGCCATCCAAGAAGTACTAAGGTCTCAATCTAAGGAAGTATGCAAACGTGTCTACATGCACTGGCGTGTAATACCGCCACAAGGCCAAAAAAGACGACGCAGGGGCATTATATACAGGGTTGGAAGAAGATAACCACCACTACACGGAATTTCCCAATACTACGTTAGAAATATTCTTTTAATGGCTTGTGCTAACTGTACCTGTAAATGCAATAAGATCCTAAATAAAAAATTGGCTGTTACTAAGGAGTTCTTTCCGTTCGAAAATTTTACCAGGGTTCTTGACGAATTGGCGGAAGCGCTAACGGTGAAGAATAGACCGTTACATATTTACCGACGGGACTCTTCTCCTACCTTTTGTAAACCAGGCGGCTTCACATTTATCAGCACACAGTGGGAGGTTGTTGTTCTCTAGTCAGTTCTGTAATGTTTTTAGAGCTCTATTAAGTTTGCCCAGTAACTCTATGTCTTTTCCTTCGCAGAACAGGACCCATTCAGCTATTATCTTGATTCGGGTTTAAAGGCCGTCGTCGATTGGAATTACTTCCTAACGTTTCGCTAGCACGAGTGGCGAGCTTCTTCAGAGGTCCTTCCAACTCCGATGTTGGACGTAGACTGACGATTTCTCCTGCGCAGGTTGTATTTATGCCGATTGGTGGTGGGCGGGGCTTGTTCCGCTTCGGTTGGTCTCGGGATATCGATCGGTACTGCTCGGGCGTTCCTAAGGATCGGGTTTCAGATTTGGTTGAGTTTAAGGGTCTCCTCCTTTCTGTTGAAATTGTGTGGATGTTTTTGTATCTCAATGGCTTCCCTGACTAGTCTGTTGTGATAGCCGTTACTCTGCCAATCCTGTTGGTGACACTCGGAATATACGGCAGATATGCGTGGGAGGTGAAGGGTCGTTGTTCGGTATCCCGTGATCTCGATGGTCTTGAGTTCATTGATCTTTCGATCTCCCTCTTGTTGTAGCCATTTCGCTGGAACGTAGTTTTTAGGTGTTCAAATTCCATCTGGAGGTTCTCCGGTTCGCAAATCCTTCGGGCTCGTTCTGTCAGGGTTCTGATAACCCCATACTTTTGACTTGGGTGATGGTTGGATAGAGCATGCAGGTATCTGTCCGTATGGGTTGGTTTTCTGTAAACTGTGTGGCCCAGCTTGTTACCTCGCTTCCTCACTAGTACGTCCAAGAATGCAAGTTGTTGGTCATTTTCAGTCTCCATAGTAAACTGGATGCTGGGATGTTGACTGTTGAGATGCTGCAGAAAGTTGTTGAGCTTGTCCATACCATGTTTCCAAATCATGAAGGTGTCATCCACGCACCGGAACCACTTTGCTGGCTTGTACTCTGAGGTCTCGATCGCTTTTTCCTCAAAATAAATAAGTTGGCTATAACCGGGTTTAATGGGCTTCCCATTGCCACTCCATCCACCTGTTCGTAGAAGTTTCCCTTAAACACAAAATAGCTACCGGTCAGACAGACTTCAAAAAGTCAGCAAATATCGACAGGAAATATCCAGTTCACCATGTCCAAGCAACTCTTCAGAGGTACTTTGGTAAACAGTGAGACGACGTCGAAGCTCACAAAGATGTCGTTTTGTTCAATATTGATATCTTGAATCTTGCGCATGAAGTCGGTGGAGTCCTTGATGTAACTGGTGCCGTGTCCTATGTGTGGTTGGAGCAGCGATGCCAAGTGTTTAACCAAGTAATACGTTGGTGATCCGGGTGCGCTAACTATTGGTCTTAACGGGACATCTTGAGAGTCGAGTTGAGTTTCTCTAAAAGCAAATTGAATTTTGTAAAATCCCACAAGTCGATATTGAATTTATCGATAGCTGCAAGATTCTCTGAAAATGTTGAAAGCAATCTCCTCAGTTCGACAACCGAGTCACTCTTCATAGTCCGAGCCCGTAAGATCGACAGCCAATAATCGGTTAACATCAATCGATCTTTTAATAACGCTTCACGAGAGCATTGTAAGCTATACTACCAATACGACCAAATAAGACAATAAAAATTGAAATTTTTCAATGTTTGAAAGGGAAGAATTATTATGGATTAAGGTGTTAAACATATCAAAAAATGTAGGCCAATTTTTCAAGTCACCATCAAATTTCGGAATGGCAATACGGGGGAGTCGGAGATTACTATTTCTTTGCGAGTCTCGACTAACTACGATGGTGCCGGTGAGCCTTAGGTTCCACTTTCTCAAATAATCGCTTGGCAATAGATCGAATTGAATAATGCAATTGATGAAAGTGATCTTGAACCGCAAACTGTCGATCTCTTTCCGAATCATTCGCTAAGGAGATTACTTCCAATTGCAAGGACTCAAAAGTGCTAGCTAAACTTGACATCCATAAAATTGCATAAAATTTCATCATCATCGGGTTCAACGCGAGCTTTCTCACCCGCTAACAATATATCGTTAAAGCGTCTAAGTGTTAAATCCCGCTTAGCACTAAATGTATCCATTTCCGACATTCTAAATCGTTTTGTAAACAAATGCACACAATTCAATTCAATTATGCGTTTCATAAAAAAATGTTGGGCACGACTGCTAGGATCATTCGCCCATTGCCGACTTCCGTCGAGGATTTTCGCTTCTGGTCATTGACCACCACGTACAAAGAAGAAGAATAACCAATAATTTGCTCAGCTAGCAAAAAACGATTCTGACCGATACCAAAAAAAATCGGCTTCCCCCCGCTTCCACCGCGGACCATCCGGGCCCATCCGGCCTCCATACCGGCGTGAACAGGGAAAAACGACGGGGCCGACGACGATTATCACTTTAAAACATGCACTGAACACTAAAAACACTAAGTCCACACAGTGGAAACCGATATCAAACTTTTGAGGACGAATACAAGGGATTCTGTCGGGAGCAAACGGAGGTTAAACCGCCGCGTGCAATGCTCCACCACAGAATCAACAAATGCACACCTAAGTCTCGAAATCGTTTTGAACAAAATTCTTCTTTCCAAAAGCTACAGAGTACCCGCTGTAAATTAAAAGGAAGAAGAATTTGAGCACCCAGAAAATAAGTTTAGAACGAATCAAATAAAGAAGACGGCCGCAATTCGAATCGACGGTAAACGCTTTTTCTGAGACCGCTTTTTTGCGCTCCAAACTTTACACGTTTTTTGCTAACCTGTTCACGATAGCGAACATTAAATTACTAAAGTTTGTGAATGACTCTAAAAATCCAAAAGACTGATTCTAATCCTGGGAGAAGGAGCAATATGTGAAGGGTTGGGGGAAGGTGGTTGTAAATCACCCTCAAAACTTAAACGGGAAAGAGCGGCAAGAAAACGGTAGGACATACAACACCCGAAACGATTAATCACCCACCTTGATGGTTTCCCGCGTCGTCGTCTGCCCGGCTGGGTCTCCTTAGGGGTATTTTCTGAAGCATTGGGGGGTGGTAAGGAACAGAGGGCGGGGTTTTCGCGAACCGGTCACGGAAGAGAGCTTGTTTTTTCGTGGATCGCACTACAGACCCTCACGCAAGTCTGTCTTTTCTCGAGGCTTAACCAAGGTTGGGTATGGTGGGGGTGTTGTATACTCAACTCAAAGGAAAAAAATTATAAAGTTACCAAAAAATGTTATTCAACCCTTAACCAGATACATTGTAAGTTAATTAAAATATGTTTATTTATTTCGCGCATTTCTAATATTTCCCCGATTAGCAAATTTAAACATATCGGATGTCAATACTTTGTAAATGTCAATAAATCATACATTTTATCGAAGCGTGTTTATTTAATAAGTTTAATTGAATTCTCTTATCGTCGCCGCCGCGAAATAAACGAGTCGTCGTCGGCTATCCCATGTAAGCCGAGTTAGGCTATAGGAACAGCGCGTCGGCGGCGCTTATCCGAAGATTCGAAATTCAAATCCCGACCGCGACACCGGTCGGTTTTTTCTCCTCTCAAAAATACGCCCATTTATTTCCCTCGTAGTGCCAAAAAGGCACTACTAAATTTATTTTTCTAACAAACCCCTTTTTTACCGGGAGTGAGTTTACCAAAGAGGCACTAACGCAAAAACTACACCTAGCAGGGCCGGAATTGCCTTAAAGGCACTAACGCGAAAACTACCCCTCAAGCGGGGTTGGAACCGCCAAAAAGGCACTAACGCGAAAACTAACCGTCTAGCGGGGTCGGAATTGCCAAAAAGGCACTAACGCGAAAACTAACCCCCTAGCGGGGTCGGAATTGCCAAAAGGCACTAACGCGAAAAATTAACTCTCTAACGAGGTCGGCGTGCCGAAAGGCACTGTGACGTCATAAAAATAACGATGGGTGCGAATACACACCTACACCTCACGTTCGACACAGGTAAGGTGACATTACACCTGTAATTAGCGACAGGGGTCACCTACACCTAACGGTTACCACAGGTCAGGTGACATTACACCTACACCTGTAATTAGCGACAGGTGAGACACCTTACTTTTTCAGCTGCTACGACCCCTTCTGGAGGGATGATGGTCACCTAGATATCATCCCCGGTCACAGTTAAGTGTGTAGATAACTACTGATATTCTAAAAGGCAAACCTATTGGTGCAATTGCCGAGATAAAAGAAGAAAAATTAAATCTCTACCGCGAGCACAAGGAGAATGGTTTGAGGCTTTTAAAGATGACAAAAAAAAGTGGTAGTTTGCGAAGAAAATATCCAGCAGCTCGAAACTCAGATAGCAGTTGTTCAGGCCGATCTTTTAGTACTGCGCTTACGTGCCGAAGAATACACAGTAAAAAGCGGATATTTTCAAAATTTTGGTCTAGCAGATATTGTATAAAATTGTAAAAAATATTCAGTAACTGTAATGTGATAAAAAAATAAAATCCCAACAATATATTTCCAGTCATTTTATTTCAAATATTTGAGAGGACGCTTTTGGTCAGATCTAAATTATGTCTAAAAATAACTGCGGAACAGCTCTCGAACATGTTCAAAACGTCTAAAAGGTTTCGACAGATCCGAAACAGATATGACCCAGTAATGATAAGCATTTCCGGAGAAAATCTTAATTAACCGGAAGGAAGGAACGTACTCGAAAGTTTGCATTATTTTAACTTCGTTATCGGAGAAGGAAATAACGTTATTAACATGTGACCACCGCCACAGTCAGTCTTCATTCTTTGGATTTTTTTGTTTTCACCGCATAAAAATAGTAAGTGTTAAGTGATACTAGAACAGTTCGGGAGTGAGAGGCAAAAAAATAATGTTCGCCTGCGAATATTGCAACCGCTAGTTCAGCCGAAAAGACCAGCTCGCGAGGCACGGGCATTGTGACGTATGCGGTGGGATATACGACGTCATCAACGCGAGAAATATGAGGTGTCCAATGGAGGAGACCCCGTATCATCCGCTCACCGAGGGACCTGTTTTGGCATGGGCAGGATTTGGAGTCTTCTGATCGATCCGGACTCAGTGCACGGTATTGGGCTAAAGGAGTTGTTGACCTATAGAAGGATCGGTATTCTGGACGCCTTCTAGCGCGGTCTGAGGGCACAACGGACCCATGTGGTTTCCTAAGTGCTAGGACGCAGGGGTGCCACCCTTTAAGACCAATACCAAAGACCCGAAAAGACCCGCCGCCGTCCCTATTGCTGCTGACGAAGCCAAGCGCCCGAGACCTTACCTACCGGAAGGTAAAATTTTTTACATTTTCTTTACGAGACAGGTATTGGTCGACAACATCGAAAAAAGGTATTTTTAAAACTCCGATTTTTAGATTCGTTTCGAGTCATGGCGTCCAGCTTGGACAAATTGAGTCGAAATTTAAACGATAGAATTTCAACTTATTCGACAGAAGGGCGTCTTTCCCTATACATACCTCATTAGATTTCTTCAATGCTTTAGATTTTTTCAGCTATGTACGTCTTAGTCAATAAAATGTACTATGCCTATTGCTTATTTTTTCCGCCCCTCTGAATATATGAGCAGATACCAATAAAGGCGAGCTTTCCTCTTATCAGTTTAACGGATGTGCCTGCAGACAATACTTCCTCGCATATTGCTCGCGTAAGCGGCGTATTTGCGACGTGCCGTAAATAAACTATAGTTTCTATCTTAAAAAATTATTGACGTTTGCGGGTTATCTTTAATAATTTAATTATATGCGACCTGGACGACCCAATTGTCTCGCTGCGAACAAAAACAAACAGCGAGAGAGATATTTATATAGATTATGCGCGGCCACGGTGACATAATAGTCTCGCTCCGCGTAACATCGTCGGTCAGGCTCGCCTCCCGCGAGTACCTTGCTCTCCTCAGTAAGACCAGGCACTTGTAATTTTTGCAACGCCGACGGTGTCTAAAAAAACAATTTTATCAAAAAATTGCATGTTTCACACTTTTGTGTCGCGTCAGAAATATGTGGAATATGAAGTTAATTTTGCCATCTTTAATAAGATTAGGCTGCTTTTCTTTCTATAAGTATAATAATTTTTATATTAACTTTAAGAATTTTATTTTTGTTTATCGTATGTGATGGGTTTTTACAAATTTACTTACATTTTTGTTGAACTTAAAATAATTAACTACAGAGGCTAAAAACTTCTATAAGTTCATTACTACCCATCACCGTGTTCGAATAATTATTAAAAATTACAATTTTTGAAATTATTACCTTAAATTACTTTACCAACATATTCCGATGTTTAAAAATTTTTACTGTTTAAAGTTAGAGTTTAAAGTTAGTATAAACATCTGCTGTACTGTTTTCCGAAATTAAATTCTCTACTTTCCTACAATCCTTTCCTAACTTTTTCCTTTATAAAATGGATATTTTGTTTTGGTTTTTGCTAAATATTTTACAATTCTATTTAAATTTAGTATGGCCTGATTATATGGTATGTTTTGTTTGGTAAATAGATCATGCTTTCCACAGCATCACAGTTTCTTTTGTTATGACCTACCTGTTTTTCTTCGTAGGTATTGTAACTGGTTTGATCTTTTCCATACTAAATTGTTTCAAGACAATTTTGGTATATGTCATGTTATTGTCTATAACATTTTAAAATAACATACGCTGAATATACGTTTTTTTAACACCTTTATTTCCGTGACCTTCTACTACCACGGCTACCATAGAACAGAGTCCCGCGCGAACCATGGAATTTCCCTGGTAGCATCGGTTGCCTGATGGCACAGTATAACTTTCTTGATCTAGTTTTACCAAGATTTGAAAATGCGTAAAAATAAACAAATTAATTTTTTTTTCAATTTTTTAGTTTTACTACGTTTACAACTCTACTCTCGTACGGAAGTGGAAGCGAATATTTATGCTGGAAACGAAAATTACGACTCCGAAGAAAAGGCAGTAGGAAGAAACAGGTCCTTAAAATTAGGGACCGAAATCTCCAAACCTGAGGTTCACAAAGACCCCTCCCTTTGTACGAGGGATAAATTTGATGCAGGAAGGAATAGGAAGGCCCAGACATTGGCCACATACAATAAAATCTAAATCCTAACCGTCGTACGGGAGTCTAAGCAAATATTTCTGCTGGAAACAAAAATTATCCACTTGATAGATATTATCCTCGATAAGTGAAAGTGTGTAAATTTCAATTAATGTAGGAAAAAATATTTTCAGTTTTTTAGTTTCCCTCAATAGCAACTCTTGTACGGGAGTGCAAACAAATATTTTTTTGATAGATAGTAGAAAGGAAGAAAGGTTCTTATATTTTGATATATAGGGAGGTGAAAAATAGTTTATATGTTAAGGTTTGTTTTAAAAATTTCCGCGGCCACTGATCATTCGGCGCTTTCCGTATTTTGGCTTCAACCGTTTTAAATTAACTTTTATATAAAAATTAAAAAACAATTTTATTATGTGAATTATATATTCAAGGCCCATAAAAGCCACTTGGGTAAAAATAAATATAAAGTTAGTTTTCTTTGGTAAAAATTATAAAATATAAACGAAATAAACATAGAGACCCAGTTACGTAATTGTGAAGATATTTAAAAAAAAAATTATAATGCCAAATTCAACTATTAAGCAAATATTAAATTATATTTGAAACACATCACATTTGACTGTAATCCCTTCCGCTCTCTTCTGCAAACACACTTTCTGCCGACAAACTTATCTTTCCTAAAAAAACATATAGAAAATTCAATTAGAATTTCAAACTGGACTTCTTATTTTTTTATGTTCTGGCACTTTTGCGTTATAAATTTTATGACAAAATATTTTTACATCTATACCATATACTAATACGAAATAACACTTAATTTGACACTTTTATTACGCTGCTATTTCTCCATCCTATGAGGAATATGCGTTATGTCCTGGACATTGCTTCAATTACTTATCAGCTTTGTTGCAAGCGCACGGAGATTGCATCAAAAGAAAATTTAAAAGTGTTTCTCAAACAATTGGGACTTGCACTTTATTAAATATCAAAAGTCTTTAACCAGTTCTATAGATATTTTTACAACTTTCTTGGTAGAATAAGTTTTTGTAATCATTAACGTAAACTTGGTTTGAGAAAAAAGTATGTTTAAACAGAAAGAATAGAGAACTCCTACACTTCAAGGTTCCTAGACTACTACTACCACACTTATACTAATACTGTTTACATATGGGAAATTAACTAAAATGCTCATGACTAGTGCCCAGAAATGTATATGTCTAGAATTGACTTTTTTTGTATTTTGAATTAATATATTAATATTTTCACTTAACTAATTTTCATTTTGTTTAACTACACAATAATAACAGGTGTCGACAAACAACCTTTATAACACAGAAACAATGGAAATCAATAACACTCTTAGAAGTCATTTTTTTAATAAGATGGTCCCCTATGTTTCTAATTATACCCATAGAGTAACAGCAGGTACAGTAGTTAAACTTACGAGTTTAATATAGAGTAAATTTGTTGAAACTAAACAAGTAAAGACAAAAACAATTTACTCACCCAGTATTTTCTTTAACCATTCTCCAATTAAAATTTATCTTACATTTGCCCTTGTGACTAGTGTGTGGTTGACTAAGAAATATATTTACAAAAAAGCATATAATAAAAAAAGGACTTACACTTCACTAATCCCTCCAAATCTCTTTTCATGAACATCTCTTCTACAAGTACAACTTTTGCTGACAAACTTACTTTTACTAAAAAGAAAAGTAGAAAAAAAGGATATAAGAAATGCAAACTCAATTTCAAAACAAAATTCTTACTTTTTTATATGTTTCTCTGGTATGTTTCCTTTAAAAATTTTAAGACATTTGCACTTCAAATTGATAATCTGTTTACTAAAAAATACTTTCATAATTATAACAGACACTAATACAAAATAACACTTAATTTTAGTCAAATTTATTATATCTTGAACATTGCTTGAATTACCTATCAGCATTCTTGCAAGCCCACAGAGGTTGCATATCAAAGAAATTTAAAAGTGTTTCTTAAACAAATGGGACTTGCGCTTTATCAAACGTCAAAAGCCTTTATTGTAGATTATTTCACCAGTTCTATAGATATTTGCAGACAAACTGCTCAAAAGAGGTGGAAATGAAATATATATATATATATATATATATATATATATATATATATATATATATATATATATATATATATATATATATATATATATATATATAATATATATATATATATATATATATATATATATATATTGGCCAATCAAAACTGACATGAAGTTGTCCAAATCGGTAAAATAGACATAAGTTGCTAACTGCCTCTTTTCATGCCATTCTACTTCTATTAGGGAGTATTTTCCAAAAAAAATGTATTGACAGAAAATTTGATTTTCCAGCCTCAGTATGTGGACAACATAATATAGCTCAGACATCCCAAAGCTTGCTTCAATCGCAAATACATTTTTCATAAATATAAACTTGGTTTGAAAAAAACAACAAACAAAACAAAGATTGTATTGGTTAGAACATAATTAAAGAGAACTCCTTCACCTAAAGATTTCTTGACTACCACTACACTTACTTAATGCTTACATATGGATAAGAAATATTTAGTAGTATTTTGCAAGTATTATGAGATGTTGCTCAGAACTATATGTGTTTAGAATTGACTTTTTGGTATTTTGTCTTAATATATTAATATTTTCAATTAACTAAATTTCAATGTGATTTAATAGACAAAAATAACAAGTGTTGACAAACAAACCTTTTTAATAGAGAATTTAATGTAACTTTTTTAACAAGGTTGTCAGAGCATTCTACCATGTTGCTAAGTGGTTTATGAGCCATAGAGCAGTAGCGGGCACAGCAGTTAAGCTTAGAAATTTCATACGGAGTAAATTTGTGAAAACTAAACAAGTAATAACAAAAACTATTTACTCACCCAGTCTTTTCTTTAACCATTCTCCTATTAAAATGTATCTTACATTTGCACTTGGAACTAGTGTGTGGTTGACTAAAAAATACATTAACAAAAAAGCTTGCAATAAAGAAAAGCACTTACACTTCACTAATCCCTTTTAATATCTTTTCATGAAAATCTCTTCTACAAGCACAACTTTTGCTGACCAACTTATTTATCCTAAAAACAAAGGTAGAAATAAAGGGATATGGGAAATTTAATTCAATTTCAAAAGAAATTTCTTACTTTTTAGTATTTTCTTCTGGTGCTTTTCTTTTATAAATTTTGATACATTGGCATTTCCAGGTGGTATCCACTAAAATAAGACTTTAACTATAACAGCAGTAATCGGCACACTATATAAAAAACATACTTGTAATTTTCATCAGATACTTTTCCAATAATATAAATAACTTCGAAAATGTGGCAGTCTAATTGTCAAAGTAAATTTCCTTCTCTTGCCAAATTGCTTTTTTTTAAAATGTTGTGCAATTTCTTCTGTATCCTACAGATGTACACTAAGTGTGCTGAAGGTGAACAGGTTTAATCAATTAAATAATTTTACTACACCTGTGCTTACAGAGATTACGAGTAGTGGTGTTGCCACACTTGCTCTTTTTCACTATCCTTGCGCCTACACCGGGATCGCAAGGATGGTGTCATTGCGTCGTTAGTGTTGTGTGAACCGTTCATTTTACGACAACCGAATCAATCAGTGATCGATTACGAAAAGGACGAATCTTTTCAATCGGATTCATTTGAATTTGAATTATTGTTGTGTCTACATTTTCTGTTTGAGCTATAATAATAGTTAGCTGTCTTCTGCTTTTTACTGCATCATCAATATAATTGATACGTATTGGGTTGGACGAGTAATACATTAATTTCTGTAAATTAAATACCTGACTGAAAATAGATAGTTCATTCAATATTCAATTCAACACATAAGTAAATCCACCAAGGATATCGCAACTCAATAATATACAAATATTATAACAATACTCAAATTCCTTTTCTATAGTCTGTTTCTGTCATTCATTTCAATCTGTAACAATTCAAAAGAACCGTATTCCGCAAGACGAATTGACACAACTCTAGGCACGCCTTAAATTAACCATGGAAAGAAAAATAATACCTATGCTTGGTCACTGTATAAAAAGGAGTTTTTAATTGCAAGAAATCGGGCAACAGACCAAGTCTGTATCAAAAGCGTCTAGTCTCTGCTGAGACATAATTGATAAACAGAATGTTTAGGTTAGAGCCAGCAATTTGTATAGAGATATCAAATTTAATAGTTTAAATGTTTAAAAGCCGGAATGCAATTGATTTTAGAAGGTAAATTCATAGGGTGGTGGGGTATCAAAACTCCTCAACGAATAGTTTTCCACGAGGTAAAATTGATTTAATATTTTATAATAGCTCAAAAGAGGCATTTTGCATGTTTATCGCAAAAAATGTCGCATTTTATATTATTATCCTTTGTAGGTTGTAGATTAATAGATATATGTAAATTTCAGTTATTGGAAAATAATATCTTAAATGTACAGAAACAAAATGTTAAGCATCAGGAAGGGACAACACAATCATAAACACTTGGAGGACCAACCACAAGGCGGAAATATTAAGAGTTGCAAGCATGTCTGACAGAGAAAGGAACTTGAGGGAATTTATAGAATAGATCTGCTTCAAGGTAGATAAATTATTAGTATCGAGTATATAGGTATTAATAAATTTCAATTATGTTAATGTTATTTTAGAATATTCCTGTAGAACTAGAAGATTTAACTAGTGCTCTGGAAAAAGCAAGCTAGCGGCCTAGACATTAGTTTGATTATACAGTGTTGTCATTTTTCTCTCAAGCCTCTGTATGAAAGGATTCCAATTTGAGAAATGGGGATTAAACATGATTTTACATTTGTTGGTGATATTCTCTAAATTGCCACATATAGGCATAAAGATTTGATTGTTATTTTTTTGGTTTTTGATTTAGCATCTAACCTATTATTCTTTGGTAGAGTAATATACCAGGCTGAAGCTTGCTTAGATTTTCACCCATGCCAAATTGTAGAGGGTGCCACTACTCTAACTATCGCCCTATTTGGAGTCCGACTTAGTTCATACAACACTTTAAGGCCTCATCCAATAAAGACTTTGGAATACCAGAATCAACAATCTTTGTCCTAACTTTATCCAGTAAAGTTGTAACATACTGTAAAAGGTTTTTACCAGCTTCATATTTAGTTTTTAATGTTTTTATCATTAGGAGATGAGAATAATTATTTAATATAGTTGGAAAGTACTTTTTTCAGCGTAGTTAAACGTAAGTTCGAAGTTAAAGGTCGTTGGTGGGTTTTTTGCTTTTGTAACGTGGTGAGTCTTTGGTTCTTTGATATGTCGTTTTCTTTATATGTGCCTGACCATTTTCCCAACTGTTAAATTTGTCTGTTTTTCTTTTTGAATGCCGTTGAGCAGACTATTCCCTACAGAATCGAATTGGGTTGCATTTTTGTTGGGTCTTTGTCGTTTCCGGTTATTTTAGTTATTAATTAGTGACTCTTCTAGGCATAAGTTTCCTTTGTTTTACTATTTTAATCTGTGCAGCCTTTACTTTAATGGCTAACACGTGGTTCTCTGTTTGTGCAAGGGGTACTGTGCCCCCTCTGCTGTTAGAGTTTAATTGATGTATGTATTGACAAGCCCAGTGTATTTTTCTTATTTTTGTGATAGAGTGTTTCCCTTTTACATTTTAGTGTCCTGAGAAAGCCTAAATAATTGGGCGAAAGCTGGACTTAACAATAAAAAGAGCAATGAGCATTTACATCTTTTATTGCTCCCTCTATATTAGTCAATATTGGGCGATCCCACAGTTATTTTGTGCAACAAGTTACCAGTAGCCCCTTACTGTATTTACTCTTTGCTTCTAGGAGTAAGAATGGGATAATTCTATCGGAGGATTGGAATCACATATGGCACTGACGTCGTGACTCCCAGATACCTACAAGATGGCACACAACAATTGTGGCGCATACTTCAACGACTGAACAACACTAACCATAGACAACTTGAATTTCTAGCACAAAAGGTAACTAAAAAAATGCACAACATGTCTACCGCAGATTGTGACCGGTTTATCAGACTTTCTACGTGGAAAGAACCTTCCTTTTAATATTTTAGATGATTTTTTATTCACACAGAACATTCAATTCAATTCGATTTTATTAAATTAAGGGGAATAATTTAAAAAAGATCAAAGGACTTAGGCAGGCCGAAGATTCATTTTCTTTGCCGATTATGTTAAATGGTTTAAGAACATTTCTAGCACAAAAAATACTTGCTGAAGTTTGTGGTTTTCTAGCCATTGAGACATTGAGAGACGGACAAGGGAATTTCTGAGCTAACTCTAACCTACCAATTACCAAGTCTGACAAGGGTCACGGTTGCCATGTCTAGAGAATCATATATACAAAAATCATTGGAACTCCTTGGAGATAATGCAACGTATATTCCAGTCCATAGAGACCCTACGTCCTCAACAAAAAATAAATGTAATACATTAGTGAAAAAAATTAAAGAACAAGGGTATATTGAAGAAGCCATCTCAAAAAAACTTATCACATAAAACCGTGTATGCCCAAAGTATTATGGCTTACCGAAAGTCCATAAAGAGGACTGCCCACTGTGTCCTATAGTGTCTTGTGTCGGAGAAACTACACAGCCATTGACATGTTTCGTTGGTCAGATTTTGAGCGCCTGAATTCAATAAATTTAGAATTAGAAACACGTTCGAATTTGACGAACTTGTTAACGGTGTTCAAATACCTCAGGGCTTTGTGCTTGCTTCTTTTGATGTGGTGTCTCTTTTTACGAATATCACCCTAGAATTAGTATTGGCAATTTTCGACGAGCATTTCAATTTGATTGAACCCAATTGTAATATTCAAAAGTCAAAAGTGCCGTAGTAACCGTGTTTCAAAAACTGTGGCTTAAAACTTTAAAACTTTTGAAATTTAATATGTTATAGTATTGCCATAGTGTTTTGTGAGAGGTCTCATCTTTCTATTTTAAATAACGACTAACATTCTTGCATGTAATCAATTCTTCTACCAACGAAAAATGCGAGAGTCTATAGAGATCTGTAAACAACTTAACAATCTTAACTCTCTACCTGAGTCGCGGTTTGAGCAGATTGCTATTCAAGAAAAGCCCTGTAGTGTTGGTTTAGGTGAAAAAATTTTGTGGGTCTGTGATCTAGTCGAATACTAAAATTATTGTCTGTGCGTTTTTCACCGTGGTTAAAGGTAAGTTCGAAGATAATGGTCGGTGGTGGGTTTTTTGCTTTTTATTCTTTGGTTTTGTAAGGTGGTGATTCTTTGATTTATCAAGTTTTCTTTATATGTGCCTGAAAATTTTTCCAACTGTCAAATTTGTCGTTTTTTTTTTAAATGTCGTTGAGCAGATTATCACCAGACCACCAGACAGAATAGAATTGCGTTGCATTTTTGTTGGGTCTTTGTCGTTTACGGTTATTTGACTTATTGATTAGTGACTCGTTGTCTAGGCATAAGTTTCCTTTGTTTTACTATTTTAATCTGTGCAGCCTTTACTTTAATGGCTAACACGTGGTTCTCTGTTTGTGCAAGGGGTACTGTGCCCCCTCTGCTGTTAGAGTTTAATTACATTCTAGTGTCCCGAGGAAGCCTAAATACTTGGACGAAAGCTTGACTTAACAATAAAAAGCCACTATTCAATGAGCATTTACATCTTTTATTGATCCCTCTATATTAGTCAATATTGGGCGATCCCGTAGTTATTTTGTGCAACAAGTTACCAGTAGCCCCTAACTGTATTTACACTTTGCTTCTAGGAGTAAGAATGGGATAATTCTATCGTAGGATTGGAATCACATATGGCACTGACGTCGTGCCTCCCAGATATCTACAAGATGGCACACAACAACTGTGGCGCATACCTTCACAACTGAACACAAAAGGTAACTAAAAAAATGCACAACATGACACTTGAACGTACTTTGAGGCGACATACAGACTTTCTACGTGGAAAAAACCTTCCTTTTAATATTTTAGATGATTTTTTATTCACACCGAACATTCAATACAATTCGATTTTTAATAAAATTAAGGGGAATAATTTTAAAAAGATCAAAGGACTTAGGCAGGCCGAAGATTCATTTTCTTTGCTGATTATGTTAAATGGTTTAAGAACATTTCTAGCACAAAAAATACCTGCTGAAGTTTGTGGTTTTCTAGCCATAGGTCCTAAATTTAGCCTCCCTATTCCACCAAGGGACATTAATATTTTCAAATTACTTACAGATCTCTCATTCAAAATGTTTGCAAACAGCATAGAGACCTGGTTCTCTCGAGGGCCACAAACCTCATTGGTAATTATATTAATAGTAACACGTGCACTGACATATGACATTGAGAGACGGACAAGGGAATTTCTGAAAGCTAACTCTAACCTACTAGAGAATCATATATACAAAAATCATTGTAACTCCTAGGAGATAATGCCATTTATATTCCAGTCCATAGAGACGTCGTCAACATCAGTGAAAAAAATTAAAGAACAAGCCCTAAGTATTATGGCTTACCGAAAGTCCATTAAGAGGACTGCCCACTGTGTCCCATAGTGTCCTGTGTCGGAGAAACTATACAGCCATTGGCATGTTTCGTTGGTCAGATTTTGAGCGCCTCTTTCGCTGAATTCAATAAATTTAGAATTAGAAACACATTCGAATTTGACGAACTTGTTAACGGTGTTCAAATACCTCAGGGCTTTGTGCTTGCTTCTTTTGATGTGGTGTCTCTTTTTACGAATATCACCCTAGAGTTAGTATTGGCAATTTTAGACGAGCATTTCAATTTGATTGAACCCAATTGTAATATTCCGATAAAACAGTTTATTGATATGATTCGCTTCCTATATAGTAACACTTTTTTCACCTTTAACAACGATTACTATCAACAAATTAAGGGTCTGCCGATGGGTGGTGCCGCCTCCCTATTGATCGCGGAAATTGTGATGAATAAATTATTATATTTCGTTGTAGATAAAGTTGACTATAAATTTCCACTTTTATGCCAATATGTGGATGATTTGTTTGATGTACTTCCCGAAAATTCATTCAATGCAACACTTAACATTTTTAATTAATCCAATCCGTGTCTGGTGTTTACTGTGGAGACGGAATCTGCTCGTTCGGTGCCTTTCTTAGACTCAAAAGCTATTCGGACGATGGACAATGTCATTATTTTAGATTGGCATCCCCTTCTCTTCCCACTACCCCATGAACCAAAAAATCAATGCTCTTTTGGGTTTACAAGATCTGTCACCGTTCTTTCTAACTTTTTAACTTACTGTTATTGAGAACTCTTCTTGTGGACAATAAATATTCCATCAGGTTAATTAATAAACTTTTATTCTGTGAGGCCTACACTACAGGACCCTCCCCCCACGTCATGTGCAGGAGGATTGGCTGACCAATTTGGAAGTTAAATTTGGTAAACTCATGTATATTAACAAATTAAGGCCATCAATTGTGTGGCTCTTTCAACCTTCAAATATGAAGATGGCAAAATATAATGGTAGGTCGCTCAGATTATTCTATTCTCAACTAAAAGACACCACGGCAATAAATAGAAAGTAATATGTCGTCTATGGTTTTCAATGCGAATGTGAGAAACTTTACATAAGGCAAACATCCCAAATTAAAAAAAAAGAATTACAGTACATAAAAGTGACTGTAAACATAAGCCCAAGATTACTAGCTTCAGTTCCTATGTGAATAACCATGACCACCAAGTAACATAGAACAATCCTTATATTCTAGATGCTGAAAAGAATGGCTATAAACGTAGGTTCCTAGAAATGTGCTATATTCATCAGTGTGCCAACTGTATTAACCATAAAAGAGATGTGAATCCTTTGAGCAGTATTTACACTTATTTATTACATGAAACATTTACAAAAAAACTAATTCTACTAGTTTTACACAATGTAATTGTGCTAATGGAGTTACAAGCTACTTGATTGTCAGGTATGGTCTAGTTGGATAAATTTTTATGAGACATGGTTCCCGCTAATGATAATGGAGAGCTAGCTGTAGTTACGTTAGATTTTTTGGTGAGCTAATACTTTGCCTTTGGACAGGTGGCTGGGAAACATGTTTGTATATGTTGATATATATGCTGCGCTCAGTGTTATTTTCAATAATAGCCACCCTTTAATTTCCATTCGATATTTACAGGATCGGTAATTCGCCTCACATGCCTTTCAATTGTTTCTACTTTCTACTATTCATCTGCATTCAGTTCTAATTCTTCCATTGAAAGGCGTAAAGGTTATATAAAATCATAATTCTTTGCAAATTTAAAGGTATTATTCACTTTCGATTTAAGTAAATCAAATTTTGTTTTGGGGTTTAATATAAAAATAATTTCGATTGGGCTTAGCCAAGAGTGTTTCTGTTTAAAAGGACGGGAATTTTTGTAGTCAAAATTATTAAGTTCTTTTTCTGCGGTTTGCCCATGTATTTTTTGCAGAATTAAATGAACGGCCATTGTCCTTGTCACAATTTCTGAGATACCCATCACCGAGAAGGTTTGGGAGATAACAGTTTACTTTTGCATTACATGTATGTTGTGGCGGTTTCATATTTCAATAGTAAAATTTAGTATTTTTAAAGTAAAAGTACTGGCACATTTGAGAAGTAATGGGTTTATTTTGTTTGGATCTAGTAATAATTTTCTTATCATAATATTAGTTTTATAAGTAGCTTATAGAATTAATTGTGTTGTCCATTTCTTCATCTGATGCCTGTGTTCCATGGATTTCTTAGTCGACTTAGCATTGTGCGTACGACAAAAGTACATATGATCGCGAAGTCAGGAAGAATTTAACGCAAGCCATTTTGCTTTGGACCATGTCTCTAATGATAGTGCTAGGTAGTGCTAGGTTTCTGCTCTGTGATATTCCATTTTGTTTCTGATCTGTTGCGAATGCGAATGAATGAATGAGTAATTTCAGAGAAGACAAAAAGCTTTGTTCTATTCGGGTAGCGTGAATAAGTGGCTTTTTGTAAAATTCAAGCTTTGCTGTGTTAATTTTGGGTATTGTATGTCCTACCGTTTTCTTGCCGCTCTAACCGTTTAAGTTTTGAGGGTGATTTACAACCACCTTCCCCCAACCCTTTACAGTTATAAATATGTAAGTTTAGTAATTCAGAATCAGACGCATCTGCCTCAGACTCTTATTAAATTCTAATTCACAAAAACAAAATAAATTTCTTAATTTCAATAAAACTGTAAGTTGAATATGTTATTATTGATGAGGATTAGTGTATTGATGTTTTTTTAAATTAATATGTTGTTACTTTTAAGATAAAAATTTTCGTAAGGAGGTCAAAAGTGCCGTAGCAACCGTGTTTCAAAAACTGTGGCTTAAAAACTTTTGAAATTTAATATGTTAGATATTGCCATAGTGTTTTCTGAGAGGTCTCATCTTTCTATTTTAAATAATGACTAACATTCTTGCATGTAATCAATTCTTCTACCAACGAAAAATGCGAGTGTCTATAGAGATCTGTAAACAACCTAACAATCTTAAGTCTACCTGAGTCGCGATTTGAGCAGATTGCTATTCAAGAAAAGCCCGGTTGTGTTGGTTTAGGTGAAAAAATTTTGTGGGTCTTTGATCTAGTCCAGGGGTCTCCAAACTTTTCAGCCTTAGGGCCATATTGATCACGCCAAGAAATTCTAAGGGCCAAAACAATATTATCATTAATTGTCGCCGGTGATAAAAAGTTGAATCAGTCATGTGAAATATTTAGCCAAAGCAGTGAGACCGAGTTTCCTATCAATTTTGCAATCGAAACTTTCGACTGCTTTAAAAATAAATTTTGATACTCGTTTCTCGGACTTTGATGCCATTGCGAATGAAATTAAGATTTTTCAGAATCCTTTCGAAACTGACATTGAAACCCTAGCCCCGGAACTTCAAATGGAAATGATTGACTTAAAGTGCAGTGATATCATTAAGAACAAATATCAAAACTTATCCTTGTTGGAATTTTATAAGTGTCTTCCACTGACACAATTTGATAATTTGCATAAATTTGCTCGTGGAATGTTTTCTGTTTTTGGTACTACTTATCTGTGTGAGAAGACCTTTTCCAAAATGAAGTACACAAAAAATGTCTACAGATCTAAATTGACTGATGGGCATCTTAAATCTCTTTTAATAATTGGTACAAGTAAAATTAGCCCACAACTACAAACTATTGTCAGTGGAAAATCGCAATTACATAAATCTCATTAGAATTTCATATGTCATTATGCTTGTTATAAGTTATTTTTTTATTTAAAATGTATAAAATGTTGGTTGAATTCATTTCAATAATTTGTTGGTTAGTATATAATAACCTACAACAATGTTATGAGTAGTTGCCCATGATCATATCAATGTAGATGTCATATTAATTAATATTCAACGTAAAAATAGATTACTTCAGTAAACTAAATTTATTTGCTATAAACAACATCTAATCTCTAGTAGATTTTTCTTTCAAGTATACAAGCTCTCCGCGGGCCGGACAAAATCTGTTCGCGGGCCGGATGTGGCCCGTGGGCCGTAGTTTGGAGACCCCTGATCTAGTCGAATACTAAAATTATTTCTGTGCTTTTTTCACCGTGGTTAAACGTAAGTTCGAAGTTAATGGTCGTTGGTGGGTTTTTTGTTTTTTATTCTTTGGTTTTGTAATGTGGTGATTCTTTGATTTGTCAAGTTTTCTTTATATGTGCCTGAGCATTTTTCCAACTGTCAAATTTCTCTGTTTTTTTTTAAATGTCGTTGAGCAGATTATCTCCGACAGAATCGAATTGGGTTGCATTTTTGTTGGGTCTTTGTCGTTTACGGTTATTTGACTTATTAATTAGTGACTTGTTGTCTAGGTTAAGTTTCCTTTGTTTTACTATTTTAATTTGTGCAGCCTTTACTTTAATGGCTAACACGGTTCTCTGTTTGTGCAAGGAGTACTGTGCCCCCTCTGCTGTTAGAGTTTAATTGATGTATGTATTGATAAGCCCAGTGTGTTCTTTTTGTTTTTATTATAGAGTGTTTCCCTTTTACATTTTAGTGTCCTAAGGAAGCCTAAGTACTTGGGCGAAAGCTTGACTTAACAATAAAAAGCCACTATTCAATGAGCATTTGCATCTTGTATTGCTCCCTCTATATTAGTTAATATTGGGCGATCCCGTAGTTATTTTGTGCAACAAGTTACCAGTAGCCCCTAACTGTATTTACACTTTGCTTCTAGGAGTAAGAATGGGATAATTCTATCGTAGGATTGGAATCACATATGGCACTGACGTCGTGCCTCCCAGATATCTACAAAAAGGCACACAACAACTGTGGCGCATACCTTCACAACTGAACACAAAAGGTAACTAAAAAAATGCACAACATGACACTTGAACGTACTTTGAGGCGACATACAGACTTTCTACGTGGAAAAAACCTTCCTTTTAATATTTTAGATGATTTTTTATTCACACCGAACATTCAATACAATTCGATTTTTAATAAAATTAAGGGGAATAATTTTAAAAAGATCAAAGGACTTAGGCAGGCCGAAGATTCATTTTCTTTGCTGATTATGTTAAATGGTTTAAGAACATTTCTAGCACAAAAAATACCCGCTGAAGTTTGTGGTTTTCTAGCCATAGGTCCTAAATTTAGCCTCCCTATTCCACCAAGGGACATTAATATTTTCAAATTACTTACAGATCTCTCATTCAAAATGTTTGCAAACAGCATAGAGACCTGGTTCGCTCGAGGGCCACAAACCTCATTGGTAATTATATTAATAGTAACACGTGCACTGACATATGACATTGAGAGACGGACAAGGGAATTTCTGAAAGCTAACTCTAACCTACTAGAGAATCATATATACAAAAATCATTGTAACTCCTAGGAGATAATGCCATTTATATTCCAGTCCATAGAGACGTCGTCAACATCAGTGAAAAAAATTAAAGAACAAGCCCTAAGTATTATGGCTTACCGAAAGTCCATTAAGAGGACTGCCCACTGTGTCCCATAGTGTCCTGTGTCGGAGAAACTATACAGCCATTGGCATGTTTCGTTGGTCAGATTTTGAGCGCGTCTTTCGCTGAATTCAATAAATTTAGAATTAGAAACACATTCGAATTTGACGAACTTGTTAACGGTGTTCAAATACCTCAGGGCTTTGTGCTTGCTTCTTTTGATGTGGTGTCTCTTTTTACGAATATCACCCTAGAGTTAGTATTGGCAATTTTAGACGAGCATTTCAATTTGATTGAACGCAATTGTAATATTCCGATAAAACAGTTTATTGATATGATTCGCTTCCTATATAGTAACACTTTTTTCACCTTTAACAACGATTACTATCAACAAATTAAGGGTCTGCCGATGGGTGGTGCCGCCTCCCTATTGATCGCGGAAATTGTGATGAATAAATTATTATATTTCGTTGTAGATAAAGTTGACTATAAATTTCCACTTTTATGCCAATATGTGGATGATTTGTTTGATGTACTTCCCGAAAATTCATTCAATGCAACACTTAACATTTTTAATTAATCCAATCCGTGTCTGGTGTTTACTGTGGAGACGGAATCTGCTCGTTCGGTGCCTTTCTTAGACTCAAAAGCTATTCGGACGATGGACAATGTCATTATTTTAGATTGGCATCCCCTTCTCTTCCCACTACCCCATGAACCAAAAAATCAATGTTCTCTTGGGTTTACAAGATCTGTCACCGTTCTTTCTAACTTTTTAACTTACTGTTATTGAGAACTCTTCTTGTGGACAATAAATATTCCATCAGGTTAATTAATAAACTTTTATTCTGTGAGGCCTACACTACAGGACCCTCCCCCCACGTCATGTGCAGGAGGATTGGCTGACCAATTTGGAAGTTAAATTTGGTAAACTCATGTATATTAACCAATTAAGGCCATCAATTGTGCGGCTCTTTCAACCTTCAAATATGAAGATGGCAAAATATAATGGTAGGTCGCTCAGATTATTCTATTCTCAACTAAAAGACACCACGGCAATAAATAGAAAGTCCTATGTCGTCTATGGTTTTCAATGCGAATGTGAGAAACTTTGCATAAGGCAAACATCTCAAATTAAAAAAAAAAGAATTACAGTACATAAAAGTGACTGTAAACATTAGCCCAAGATTACTAGCTTCAGTTCCTATGTGAATAACCATGACCACCAAGTAACATAGAACAATCCTTATATTCTAGATGCTGAAAAGAATGGCTATAAACGTAGGTTCCTAGAAATGTGCTATATTCATCAGTGTGCCAACTGTATTAATCATAAAAGAGATGTGAATCCTTTGAGCAGTATTTACACTTATTTATTACATGAAACATTTACAAAAAAACTAATTCTACTAGTTTTACACAATGTAAGTGTGCTATTGGAGTTACAAGCTACTTGATTGTCAGGTATGGCCTAGTTGGATAAATTTTGGGAGACATGGTTCCCGTTAATGATAATGGAGAGGTAGCTGTAGTTACGTTAGATTTTTTGGTGAGTCAATACTTTGCCTATGGACAGGTGGCTGGGAAACATGATTGTATATGTTGATATGTATGCTGCGCTCAGTGTTATTTTCAATAATAGCCACCCTTTAATTTCCATTCGATATTTACAGGATCGGTAATTCGCCTCATATGCCTTTCAATTGTTTCTACTTTGTACTATTCATCTGCATTCAGTTCCAATTCATAAAGGCATAAAGGTCATATAAAATCATAATTCTGCGCAAATTTAAAGCTATTATTCACTTTCGGTTTAAGTAAACCAAATTTTGTTTTGGGGTTTAATATAAAAATAATTTCGATTGGGTTTAGCCCAGAGTGTTTCTGTTTAAAGGACGGAAATTTTTGTAGTCAAAATTCTTAAGTTCTTTTTCTGTGGTCATTGTCACAATTTCTGAGATACCCATCACCGTGAAGGTTTGGGAGATAACAGTTTACTTTAGCATTACATGTATGTACTGGCACATTTGAGAAGTAATGTTTGCATCTAGTAATAATTTTCTTATCATAATATTAGTTTTATAAGTAGCTATAAAGAGTTGTCCATTTCTTCATCTGAGGCCTGTGTGGCTTTATCTGACGCGGCTTTTATGGTATTGTCTTTCGATGGGGTTCATCCGGCTCTGTTCCATGGATTTCTTAGTCGACTTGGCATTGTGCGTACGACAAAAGCACATATGATCGCGAAGTCAGGAAGAATTTAACGCAAGCCATTTTCAATTTTGTGTCTGGTCTGTTGCGAATGCGAATGAATGAATGAGTAATTTCAGAGGAGACTAAAAGCTTTGTTCTATTCGGGTAGCGTGAATAAGTGGCTATTTGTAAAATTCAAGCTTTGCGGTGTTAATTTTGGGTGTTGTATGTCTTTTCGTTTTCTTGCCGCTCTAACCGTTTAAGTTTTGAGGGTGATTTACAACCACCTTCCCCCAACCCTTTACAGTTATAAATATGTAAGTTTAGTAATTCAGAATCAGACGCATCTGCCTCAGACTCTTATTAAATTATGATTCACAAAAACAAAATAAATTTCGTAAGTTGAATATGTTATTATTGATGAGGTTTAGTGTATTGATGTTTTTTTTAATTAATATTTTGTTACTTTTTAGATAAAAACTTTCGTAAGGAAGTCAAAAGTGCCGTAGTAACCGTGTTTCAAAAACTGTGGCTTAAAACTTTAAAACTTTTGAAATTTAATATGTTATAGTATTGCCATAGTGTTTTGTGAGAGGTCTCATCTTTCTATTTTAAATAACGACTAACATTCTTGCATGTAATCAATTCTTCTACCAACGAAAAATGCGAGAGTCTATAGAGATCTGTAAACAACCTAACAATCTTAACTCTCTACCTGAGTCGCGGTTTGAGCAGATTGCTATTCAAGAAAAGCCCTGTAGTGTTGGTTTAGGTGAAAAAATTTTGTGGGTCTGTGATCTAGTCGAATACTAAAATTATTGTCTGTGCGTTTTTCACCGTGGTTAAAGGTAAGTTCGAAGATAATGGTCGGTGGTGGGTTTTTTGCTTTTTATTCTTTGGTTTTGTAAGGTGGTGATTCTTTGATTTATCAAGTTTTCTTTATATGTGCCTGAAAATTTTTCCAACTGTCAAATTTGTCGTTTTTTTTTTAAATGTCGTTGAGCAGATTATCACCAGACCACCAGACAGAATAGAATTGCGTTGCATTTTTGTTGGGTCTTTGTCGTTTACGGTTATTTGACTTATTGATTAGTGACTCGTTGTCTAGGCATAAGTTTCCTTTGTTTTACTATTTTAATCTGTGCAGCCTTTACTTTAATGGCTAACACGTGGTTCTCTGTTTGTGCAAGGGGTACTGTGCCCCCTCTGCTGTTAGAGTTTAATTACATTCTAGTGTCCCGAGGAAGCCTAAATACTTGGACGAAAGCTTGACTTAACAATAAAAAGCCACTATTCAATGAGCATTTACATCTTTTATTGATCCCTCTATATTAGTCAATATTGGGCGATCCCGTAGTTATTTTGTGCAACAAGTTACCAGTAGCCCCTTACTGTATTTACACTTTGCTTCTAGGAGTAAGAATGGGATAATTCTATCGGAGGAATGGAATCACATATGGCACTGACGTCGTGACTCCCAGATACCTACAAGATGGCACACAACACTTGTGGCGCATACTTCAACGACTGAACAACACTAACCATAGACAACTTGAATTTCTAGCACAAAAGGTAACTAAAAAAATGCACAACATGTCTACCGCAGATTGTGACCGGTTTATCAGACTTTCTACGTGGAAAGAGCCTTCCTTTTAATATTTTAGATGATTTTTTATTTACACAGAACATTCAATTCAATTCGATTTTTAATAAAATTAAGGGGAATAATTTAAAAAAAGTTCAAAGGACTTAGGCAGGCCGAAGATTCATTTTCTTTGCTGATTATGTTAAATGGTTTAAGAACATTTCTAGCACAAAAAATACCTGCTGAAGTTTGTGGTTTTCTAGCCATAGGTCCTAAATTTAGCCTCCCTATTCCACCAAGGGACATTAATATTTTCAAATTACTTACAGATCTCTCATTCAAAATGTTTGCAAACAGCATAGAGACCTGGTTCGCTCGAGGGCCACAAACCTCATTGGTAATTATATTAATAGTAACACGTGCACTGACATATGACATTGAGAGACGGACAAGGGAATTTCTGAAAGCTAACTCTAACCTACTAATTACCAAGTCTGACAAGGGCAGTGTCATGGTTGCCATGTCTAGAGAATCATATATACAAAAATCATTGGAACTCCTAGGAGATAATGCCATGTATATTCCAGTCCATAGAGACCCTACGTCGTCAACATCAGTGAAAAAACTTAAAGAACAAGCCCTAAGTATTATGGCTTACCGAAAGTCCACTAAGAGGACTGCCCACTGTGTCCCCTAGTGTCCTGTGTCGGAGAAACTACATAGCCATTAGCATGTTTCGTTGGTCAGATTTTGAGCGCCTCTTTCGCTGAATTCAATAAATTTAGAATTAGAAACACATTCGAATTTGACGAACTTGTTAACGGTGTTCAAATACCTCAGGGCTTTGTGCTTGCTTCTTTTGATGTGGTGTCTCTTTTTACGAATATCACCCTAGAGTTGGTATTGGCAATTTTAGACGATCATTTCAATTTGATTGAACCCAATTGTAATATTCCGAAAAAACAGTTTATTGATATGATTCTCTTCCTATATAGTAACACTTTTTTCACCTTTAACAACGATTACTATCAACAAATTAAGGTTCTTCGGATGGGTGGTGCCGCCTCCCTAGTGATCGCGGAAATTGTGATGAATAAATTATTATATTTCGTTGTAAATATAGTTGACTATAAATTCCCACTTTTATGCCAATATGTGGATGATTTGTTTGATGTACTTCCCGAAAATTCATTCAATGCAACACTTAACATATTTAATTAATCCAATCCGTGTCTAGTGTTTACTGTGGAGACGGAATCTGCTCGTTTGGTGCATTTCTTAGACTCAAAAGCTATTCGGACGATGGACAATGTCGTTATTTTAGATTGGTAGCGTAAAGCGTTCAGGTCTGGTAGATATATCCCCTTCTCTTCCCACCACCCCATGAACCAAAAAATTAATGCTCTATTGGGTTTACAAGATCTGTCACCGTTCTTTCTAACTTTTTAACTTACTGTTATTGAGAACTCTTCTTGTGGACAATAAATGTTCCATCAGGTTAATTAATAAACTTTTATTCTGTGAGGCCTACACTACAGGACCCTCCCCCCACGTCATGTGCATGAGGATTGGCTGACCAATTTAGAAGTTAAATTTGGTAAACTCATGTATATTAACAAATTAAGGCCATCACTTGTGCGGTTCTTTCAACCTTCAAATATGTAGATGGCAAAATATAATGGTAGGTCGCTCAGATTATTCTATTCTCAACTAAAAGACACCACGCCAATAAATAGAAAGTAATATGTCGTCTAAGGTTTTCAATGTGAATGTGAAAAACTTTACATCTCAAATTAAAAAAAAAAAGAATTACACAGTACATAAAAGTGACTGTAAACATAAGCCCAAGATTACTAGCTTCAGTTCCTATGTGAATAACCATGACCACCAAGTAACATACAACAATCCTTATATTCTAGATACTGAAAAAAATTGCTATAAACGCAGGTTCCTAGAAATGTGCTATATTCATCAGTGTGCCAACTGTATTAACCATAAAAGAGATGTGGATGCTTTGAGCAGTATTTACACTTATTTATTACATCAAATATTTATAAAAAAACTAATTCTACTAGTTTTACACAATGTAAGTGTGCTATTGGAGTTACAAGCTACTTGATTGTCAGGTATGGCCTAGTTGGATAAATTTTGGGAGACATGGTTCCCGTTAATGATAATGGAGAGGTAGCTGTAGTTACGTTAGATTTTTTGGTGAGTCAATACTTTGCCTATGGACAGGTGGCTGGGAAACATGATTGTATATGTTGATATGTATGCTGCGCTCAGTGTTATTTTCAATAATAGCCACCCTTTAATTTCCATTCGATATTTACAGGATCGGTAATTCGCCTCACATGCCTTTCAATTGTTTCTACTTTCTACTATTCATCTGCATTCAGTTCTAATTCTTCCATTGAAAGGCATAAAGGTTATATAAAATCATAATTCTTTGCAAATTTAAAGGTATTATTCACTTTCGATTTAAGTAAATCAAATTTTGTTCTGGGGTTTAATATAAAAATAATTTCGATTGGGCTTAGCCAAGAGTGTTTCTGTTTAAAAGGACGGGAATTTTTGTAGTCAAAATTATTAAGTTCTTTTTCTGCGGTTTGCCCATGTATTTTTTGCAGAATTAAATGAACGGCCATTGTCCTTGTCACAATTTCTGAGATACCCATCACCGAGAAGGTTTGGGAGATAACAGTTTACTTTTGCATTACATGTATGTACTGGCACATTTGAGAAGTAATGTTTGCATCTAGTAATAATTTTCTTATCATAATATTAGTTTTATAAGTAGCTATAAAGAGTTGTCCATTTCTTCATCTGAGGCCTGTGTGGCTTTATCTGACGCGGCTTTTATGGTATTGTCTTTCGATGGGGTTCATCCGGCTCTGTTCCATGGATTTCTTAGTCGACTTGGCATTGTGCGTACGACAAAAGCACATATGATCGCGAAGTCAGGAAGAATTTAACGCAACATGTATGTTGTGGCGGTTTCATATTTCATATTTCAATAGTAAAATTTAGTATTTTTAAAGTAAAAGTACTGGCACATTTGAGAAGTATTGGGTTTATTTTGTTTGGATCTAGTAATAATTTTCTTATCATAATATTAGTTTTATAAGTAGCTTATAGAATTAATTGTGTTGTCCATTTCTTCATCTGATGCCTGTGTTCCATGGATTTCTTAGTCGACTTAGCATTGTGCGTACGACAAAAGTACATATGATCGCGAAGTCAGGAAGAATTTAACGCAAGCCATTTTGCTTTGGACCATGTCTCTAATGATAGTGCTAGGTAGTGCTAGGTTTCTGCTCTGTGATATTCCATTTTGTTTCTGATCTGTTGCGAATGCGAATGAATGAATGAGTAATTTCAGAGAAGACAAAAAGCTTTGTTCTATTCGGGTAGCGTGAATAAGTGGCTTTTTGTAAAATTCAAGCTTTGCTGTGTTAATTTTGGGTATTGTATGTCCTACCGTTTTCTTGCCGCTCTAACCGTTTAAGTTTTGAGGGTGATTTACAACCACCTTCCCCCAACCCTTTACAGTTATAAATATGTAAGTTTAGTAATTCAGAATCAGACGCATCTGCCTCAGACTCTTATTAAATTCTAATTCACAAAAACAAAATAAATTTCTTAATTTCAATAAAACTGTAAGTTGAATATGTTATTATTGATGAGGATTAGTGTATTGATGTTTTTTTAAATTAATATGTTGTTACTTTTAAGATAAAAATTTTCGTAAGGAGGTCAAAAGTGCCGTAGCAACCGTGTTTCAAAAACTGTGGCTTAAAAACTTTTGAAATTTAATATGTTAGATATTGCCATAGTGTTTTCTGAGAGGTCTCATCTTTCTATTTTAAATAATGACTAACATTCTTGCATGTAATCAATTCTTCTACCAACGAAAAATGCGAGTGTCTATAGAGATCTGTAAACAACCTAACAATCTTAAGTCTACCTGAGTCGCGATTTGAGCAGATTGCTATTCAAGAAAAGCCCGGTTGTGTTGGTTTAGGTGAAAAAATTTTGTGGGTCTTTGATCTAGTCCAGGGGTCTCCAAACTTTTCAGCCTTAGGGCCATATTGATCACGCCAAGAAATTCTAAGGGCCAAAACAATATTATCATTAATTGTCGCCGGTGATAAAAAGTTGAATCAGTCATGTGAAATATTTAGCCAAAGCAGTGAGACCGAGTTTCCTATCAATTTTGCAATCGAAACTTTCGACTGCTTTAAAAATAAATTTTGATACTCGTTTCTCGGACTTTGATGCCATTGCGAATGAAATTAAGATTTTTCAGAATCCTTTCGAAACTGACATTGAAACCCTAGCCCCGGAACTTCAAATGGAAATGATTGACTTAAAGTGCAGTGATATCATTAAGAACAAATATCAAAACTTATCCTTGTTGGAATTTTATAAGTGTCTTCCACTGACACAATTTGATAATTTGCATAAATTTGCTCGTGGAATGTTTTCTGTTTTTGGTACTACTTATCTGTGTGAGAAGACCTTTTCCAAAATGAAGTACACAAAAAATGTCTACAGATCTAAATTGACTGATGGGCATCTTAAATCTCTTTTAATAATTGGTACAAGTAAAATTAGCCCACAACTACAAACTATTGTCAGTGGAAAATCGCAATTACATAAATCTCATTAGAATTTCATATGTCATTATGCTTGTTATAAGTTATTTTTTTATTTAAAATGTATAAAATGTTGGTTGAATTCATTTCAATAATTTGTTGGTTAGTATATAATAACCTACAACAATGTTATGAGTAGTTGCCCATGATCATATCAATGTAGATGTCATATTAATTAATATTCAACGTAAAAATAGATTACTTCAGTAAACTAAATTTATTTGCTATAAACAACATCTAATCTCTAGTAGATTTTTCTTTCAAGTATACAAGCTCTCCGCGGGCCGGACAAAATCTGTTCGCGGGCCGGATGTGGCCCGTGGGCCGTAGTTTGGAGACCTCTGATCTAGTCGAATACTAAAATTATTTCTGTGCTTTTTTCACCGTGGTTAAACGTAAGTTCGAAGTTAATGGTCGTTGGTGGGTTTTTTGTTTTTTATTCTTTGGTTTTGTAATGTGGTGATTCTTTGATTTGTCAAGTTTTCTTTATATGTGCCTGAGCATTTTTCCAACTGTCAAATTTCTCTGTTTTTTTTTAAATGTCGTTGAGCAGATTATCTCCGACAGAATCGAATTGGGTTGCATTTTTGTTGGGTCTTTGTCGTTTACGGTTATTTGACTTATTAATTAGTGACTTGTTGTCTAGGTTAAGTTTCCTTTGTTTTACTATTTTAATTTGTGCAGCCTTTACTTTAATGGCTAACACGGTTCTCTGTTTGTGCAAGGAGTACTGTGCCCCCTCTGCTGTTAGAGTTTAATTGATGTATGTATTGATAAGCCCAGTGTGTTCTTTTTGTTTTTATTATAGAGTGTTTCCCTTTTACATTTTAGTGTCCTAAGGAAGCCTAAGTACTTGGGCGAAAGCTTGACTTAACAATAAAAAGCCACTATTCAATGAGCATTTGCATCTTGTATTGCTCCCTCTATATTAGTTAATATTGGGCGATCCCGTAGTTATTTTGTGCAACAAGTTACCAGTAGCCCCTAACTGTATTTACACTTTGCTTCTAGGAGTAAGAATGGGATAATTCTATCGTAGGATTGGAATCACATATGGCACTGACGTCGTGCCTCCCAGATATCTACAAAAAGGCACACAACAACTGTGGCGCATACCTTCACAACTGAACACAAAAGGTAACTAAAAAAATGCACAACATGACACTTGAACGTACTTTGAGGCGACATACAGACTTTCTACGTGGAAAAAACCTTCCTTTTAATATTTTAGATGATTTTTTATTCACACCGAACATTCAATACAATTCGATTTTTAATAAAATTAAGGGGAATAATTTTAAAAAGATCAAAGGACTTAGGCAGGCCGAAGATTCATTTTCTTTGCTGATTATGTTAAATGGTTTAAGAACATTTCTAGCACAAAAAATACCCGCTGAAGTTTGTGGTTTTCTAGCCATAGGTCCTAAATTTAGCCTCCCTATTCCACCAAGGGACATTAATATTTTCAAATTACTTACAGATCTCTCATTCAAAATGTTTGCAAACAGCATAGAGACCTGGTTCGCTCGAGGGCCACAAACCTCATTGGTAATTATATTAATAGTAACACGTGCACTGACATATGACATTGAGAGACGGACAAGGGAATTTCTGAAAGCTAACTCTAACCTACTAGAGAATCATATATACAAAAATCATTGTAACTCCTAGGAGATAATGCCATTTATATTCCAGTCCATAGAGACGTCGTCAACATCAGTGAAAAAAATTAAAGAACAAGCCCTAAGTATTATGGCTTACCGAAAGTCCATTAAGAGGACTGCCCACTGTGTCCCATAGTGTCCTGTGTCGGAGAAACTATACAGCCATTGGCATGTTTCGTTGGTCAGATTTTGAGCGCGTCTTTCGCTGAATTCAATAAATTTAGAATTAGAAACACATTCGAATTTGACGAACTTGTTAACGGTGTTCAAATACCTCAGGGCTTTGTGCTTGCTTCTTTTGATGTGGTGTCTCTTTTTACGAATATCACCCTAGAGTTAGTATTGGCAATTTTAGACGAGCATTTCAATTTGATTGAACGCAATTGTAATATTCCGATAAAACAGTTTATTGATATGATTCGCTTCCTATATAGTAACACTTTTTTCACCTTTAACAACGATTACTATCAACAAATTAAGGGTCTGCCGATGGGTGGTGCCGCCTCCCTATTGATCGCGGAAATTGTGATGAATAAATTATTATATTTCGTTGTAGATAAAGTTGACTATAAATTTCCACTTTTATGCCAATATGTGGATGATTTGTTTGATGTACTTCCCGAAAATTCATTCAATGCAACACTTAACATTTTTAATTAATCCAATCCGTGTCTGGTGTTTACTGTGGAGACGGAATCTGCTCGTTCGGTGCCTTTCTTAGACTCAAAAGCTATTCGGACGATGGACAATGTCATTATTTTAGATTGGCATCCCCTTCTCTTCCCACTACCCCATGAACCAAAAAATCAATGTTCTCTTGGGTTTACAAGATCTGTCACCGTTCTTTCTAACTTTTTAACTTACTGTTATTGAGAACTCTTCTTGTGGACAATAAATATTCCATCAGGTTAATTAATAAACTTTTATTCTGTGAGGCCTACACTACAGGACCCTCCCCCCACGTCATGTGCAGGAGGATTGGCTGACCAATTTGGAAGTTAAATTTGGTAAACTCATGTATATTAACCAATTAAGGCCATCAATTGTGCGGCTCTTTCAACCTTCAAATATGAAGATGGCAAAATATAATGGTAGGTCGCTCAGATTATTCTATTCTCAACTAAAAGACACCACGGCAATAAATAGAAAGTCCTATGTCGTCTATGGTTTTCAATGCGAATGTGAGAAACTTTGCATAAGGCAAACATCTCAAATTAAAAAAAAAAGAATTACAGTACATAAAAGTGACTGTAAACATTAGCCCAAGATTACTAGCTTCAGTTCCTATGTGAATAACCATGACCACCAAGTAACATAGAACAATCCTTATATTCTAGATGCTGAAAAGAATGGCTATAAACGTAGGTTCCTAGAAATGTGCTATATTCATCAGTGTGCCAACTGTATTAATCATAAAAGAGATGTGAATCCTTTGAGCAGTATTTACACTTATTTATTACATGAAACATTTACAAAAAAACTAATTCTACTAGTTTTACACAATGTAAGTGTGCTATTGGAGTTACAAGCTACTTGATTGTCAGGTATGGCCTAGTTGGATAAATTTTGGGAGACATGGTTCCCGTTAATGATAATGGAGAGGTAGCTGTAGTTACGTTAGATTTTTTGGTGAGTCAATACTTTGCCTATGGACAGGTGGCTGGGAAACATGATTGTATATGTTGATATGTATGCTGCGCTCAGTGTTATTTTCAATAATAGCCACCCTTTAATTTCCATTCGATATTTACAGGATCGGTAATTCGCCTCATATGCCTTTCAATTGTTTCTACTTTGTACTATTCATCTGCATTCAGTTCCAATTCATAAAGGCATAAAGGTCATATAAAATCATAATTCTGCGCAAATTTAAAGCTATTATTCACTTTCGGTTTAAGTAAACCAAATTTTGTTTTGGGGTTTAATATAAAAATAATTTCGATTGGGTTTAGCCCAGAGTGTTTCTGTTTAAAGGACGGAAATTTTTGTAGTCAAAATTCTTAAGTTCTTTTTCTGTGGTCATTGTCACAATTTCTGAGATACCCATCACCGTGAAGGTTTGGGAGATAACAGTTTACTTTAGCATTACATGTATGTACTGGCACATTTGAGAAGTAATGTTTGCATCTAGTAATAATTTTCTTATCATAATATTAGTTTTATAAGTAGCTATAAAGAGTTGTCCATTTCTTCATCTGAGGCCTGTGTGGCTTTATCTGACGCGGCTTTTATGGTATTGTCTTTCGATGGGGTTCATCCGGCTCTGTTCCATGGATTTCTTAGTCGACTTGGCATTGTGCGTACGACAAAAGCACATATGATCGCGAAGTCAGGAAGAATTTAACGCAAGCCATTTTCAATTTTGTGTCTGGTCTGTTGCGAATGCGAATGAATGAATGAGTAATTTCAGAGGAGACTAAAAGCTTTGTTCTATTCGGGTAGCGTGAATAAGTGGCTATTTGTAAAATTCAAGCTTTGCGGTGTTAATTTTGGGTGTTGTATGTCTTTTCGTTTTCTTGCCGCTCTAACCGTTTAAGTTTTGAGGGTGATTTACAACCACCTTCCCCCAACCCTTTACAGTTATAAATATGTAAGTTTAGTAATTCAGAATCAGACGCATCTGCCTCAGACTCTTATTAAATTATGATTCACAAAAACAAAATAAATTTCGTAAGTTGAATATGTTATTATTGATGAGGTTTAGTGTATTGATGTTTTTTTTAATTAATATTTTGTTACTTTTTAGATAAAAACTTTCGTAAGGAAGTCAAAAGTGCCGTAGTAACCGTGTTTCAAAAACTGTGGCTTAAAACTTTAAAACTTTTGAAATTTAATATGTTATAGTATTGCCATAGTGTTTTGTGAGAGGTCTCATCTTTCTATTTTAAATAACGACTAACATTCTTGCATGTAATCAATTCTTCTACCAACGAAAAATGCGAGAGTCTATAGAGATCTGTAAACAACCTAACAATCTTAACTCTCTACCTGAGTCGCGGTTTGAGCAGATTGCTATTCAAGAAAAGCCCTGTAGTGTTGGTTTAGGTGAAAAAATTTTGTGGGTCTGTGATCTAGTCGAATACTAAAATTATTGTCTGTGCGTTTTTCACCGTGGTTAAAGGTAAGTTCGAAGATAATGGTCGGTGGTGGGTTTTTTGCTTTTTATTCTTTGGTTTTGTAAGGTGGTGATTCTTTGATTTATCAAGTTTTCTTTATATGTGCCTGAAAATTTTTCCAACTGTCAAATTTGTCGTTTTTTTTTTAAATGTCGTTGAGCAGATTATCACCAGACCACCAGACAGAATAGAATTGCGTTGCATTTTTGTTGGGTCTTTGTCGTTTACGGTTATTTGACTTATTGATTAGTGACTCGTTGTCTAGGCATAAGTTTCCTTTGTTTTACTATTTTAATCTGTGCAGCCTTTACTTTAATGGCTAACACGTGGTTCTCTGTTTGTGCAAGGGGTACTGTGCCCCCTCTGCTGTTAGAGTTTAATTACATTCTAGTGTCCCGAGGAAGCCTAAATACTTGGACGAAAGCTTGACTTAACAATAAAAAGCCACTATTCAATGAGCATTTACATCTTTTATTGATCCCTCTATATTAGTCAATATTGGGCGATCCCGTAGTTATTTTGTGCAACAAGTTACCAGTAGCCCCTTACTGTATTTACACTTTGCTTCTAGGAGTAAGAATGGGATAATTCTATCGGAGGAATGGAATCACATATGGCACTGACGTCGTGACTCCCAGATACCTACAAGATGGCACACAACACTTGTGGCGCATACTTCAACGACTGAACAACACTAACCATAGACAACTTGAATTTCTAGCACAAAAGGTAACTAAAAAAATGCACAACATGTCTACCGCAGATTGTGACCGGTTTATCAGACTTTCTACGTGGAAAGAGCCTTCCTTTTAATATTTTAGATGATTTTTTATTTACACAGAACATTCAATTCAATTCGATTTTTAATAAAATTAAGGGGAATAATTTAAAAAAAGTTCAAAGGACTTAGGCAGGCCGAAGATTCATTTTCTTTGCTGATTATGTTAAATGGTTTAAGAACATTTCTAGCACAAAAAATACCTGCTGAAGTTTGTGGTTTTCTAGCCATAGGTCCTAAATTTAGCCTCCCTATTCCACCAAGGGACATTAATATTTTCAAATTACTTACAGATCTCTCATTCAAAATGTTTGCAAACAGCATAGAGACCTGGTTCGCTCGAGGGCCACAAACCTCATTGGTAATTATATTAATAGTAACACGTGCACTGACATATGACATTGAGAGACGGACAAGGGAATTTCTGAAAGCTAACTCTAACCTACTAATTACCAAGTCTGACAAGGGCAGTGTCATGGTTGCCATGTCTAGAGAATCATATATACAAAAATCATTGGAACTCCTAGGAGATAATGCCATGTATATTCCAGTCCATAGAGACCCTACGTCGTCAACATCAGTGAAAAAACTTAAAGAACAAGCCCTAAGTATTATGGCTTACCGAAAGTCCACTAAGAGGACTGCCCACTGTGTCCCCTAGTGTCCTGTGTCGGAGAAACTACATAGCCATTAGCATGTTTCGTTGGTCAGATTTTGAGCGCCTCTTTCGCTGAATTCAATAAATTTAGAATTAGAAACACATTCGAATTTGACGAACTTGTTAACGGTGTTCAAATACCTCAGGGCTTTGTGCTTGCTTCTTTTGATGTGGTGTCTCTTTTTACGAATATCACCCTAGAGTTGGTATTGGCAATTTTAGACGATCATTTCAATTTGATTGAACCCAATTGTAATATTCCGAAAAAACAGTTTATTGATATGATTCTCTTCCTATATAGTAACACTTTTTTCACCTTTAACAACGATTACTATCAACAAATTAAGGTTCTTCGGATGGGTGGTGCCGCCTCCCTAGTGATCGCGGAAATTGTGATGAATAAATTATTATATTTCGTTGTAAATATAGTTGACTATAAATTCCCACTTTTATGCCAATATGTGGATGATTTGTTTGATGTACTTCCCGAAAATTCATTCAATGCAACACTTAACATATTTAATTAATCCAATCCGTGTCTAGTGTTTACTGTGGAGACGGAATCTGCTCGTTTGGTGCATTTCTTAGACTCAAAAGCTATTCGGACGATGGACAATGTCGTTATTTTAGATTGGTAGCGTAAAGCGTTCAGGTCTGGTAGATATATCCCCTTCTCTTCCCACCACCCCATGAACCAAAAAATTAATGCTCTATTGGGTTTACAAGATCTGTCACCGTTCTTTCTAACTTTTTAACTTACTGTTATTGAGAACTCTTCTTGTGGACAATAAATGTTCCATCAGGTTAATTAATAAACTTTTATTCTGTGAGGCCTACACTACAGGACCCTCCCCCCACGTCATGTGCATGAGGATTGGCTGACCAATTTAGAAGTTAAATTTGGTAAACTCATGTATATTAACAAATTAAGGCCATCACTTGTGCGGTTCTTTCAACCTTCAAATATGTAGATGGCAAAATATAATGGTAGGTCGCTCAGATTATTCTATTCTCAACTAAAAGACACCACGCCAATAAATAGAAAGTAATATGTCGTCTAAGGTTTTCAATGTGAATGTGAAAAACTTTACATCTCAAATTAAAAAAAAAAAGAATTACACAGTACATAAAAGTGACTGTAAACATAAGCCCAAGATTACTAGCTTCAGTTCCTATGTGAATAACCATGACCACCAAGTAACATACAACAATCCTTATATTCTAGATACTGAAAAAAATTGCTATAAACGCAGGTTCCTAGAAATGTGCTATATTCATCAGTGTGCCAACTGTATTAACCATAAAAGAGATGTGGATGCTTTGAGCAGTATTTACACTTATTTATTACATCAAATATTTATAAAAAAACTAATTCTACTAGTTTTACACAATGTAAGTGTGCTATTGGAGTTACAAGCTACTTGATTGTCAGGTATGGCCTAGTTGGATAAATTTTGGGAGACATGGTTCCCGTTAATGATAATGGAGAGGTAGCTGTAGTTACGTTAGATTTTTTGGTGAGTCAATACTTTGCCTATGGACAGGTGGCTGGGAAACATGATTGTATATGTTGATATGTATGCTGCGCTCAGTGTTATTTTCAATAATAGCCACCCTTTAATTTCCATTCGATATTTACAGGATCGGTAATTCGCCTCACATGCCTTTCAATTGTTTCTACTTTCTACTATTCATCTGCATTCAGTTCTAATTCTTCCATTGAAAGGCATAAAGGTTATATAAAATCATAATTCTTTGCAAATTTAAAGGTATTATTCACTTTCGATTTAAGTAAATCAAATTTTGTTCTGGGGTTTAATATAAAAATAATTTCGATTGGGCTTAGCCAAGAGTGTTTCTGTTTAAAAGGACGGGAATTTTTGTAGTCAAAATTATTAAGTTCTTTTTCTGCGGTTTGCCCATGTATTTTTTGCAGAATTAAATGAACGGCCATTGTCCTTGTCACAATTTCTGAGATACCCATCACCGAGAAGGTTTGGGAGATAACAGTTTACTTTTGCATTACATGTATGTACTGGCACATTTGAGAAGTAATGTTTGCATCTAGTAATAATTTTCTTATCATAATATTAGTTTTATAAGTAGCTATAAAGAGTTGTCCATTTCTTCATCTGAGGCCTGTGTGGCTTTATCTGACGCGGCTTTTATGGTATTGTCTTTCGATGGGGTTCATCCGGCTCTGTTCCATGGATTTCTTAGTCGACTTGGCATTGTGCGTACGACAAAAGCACATATGATCGCGAAGTCAGGAAGAATTTAACGCAACATGTATGTTGTGGCGGTTTCATATTTCATATTTCAATAGTAAAATTTAGTATTTTTAAAGTAAAAGTACTGGCACATTTGAGAAGTATTGGGTTTATTTTGTTTGGATCTAGTAATAATTTTCTTATCATAATATTAGTTTTATAAGTAGCTTATAGAATTAATTGTGTTGTCCATTTCTTCATCTGATGCCTGTGTTCCATGGATTTCTTAGTCGACTTAGCATTGTGCGTACGACAAAAGTACATATGATCGCGAAGTCAGGAAGAATTTAACGCAAGCCATTTTGCTTTGGACCATGTCTCTAATGATAGTGCTAGGTAGTGCTAGGTTTCTGCTCTGTGATATTCCATTTTGTTTCTGATCTGTTGCGAATGCGAATGAATGAATGAGTAATTTCAGAGAAGACAAAAAGCTTTGTTCTATTCGGGTAGCGTGAATAAGTGGCTTTTTGTAAAATTCAAGCTTTGCTGTGTTAATTTTGGGTATTGTATGTCCTACCGTTTTCTTGCCGCTCTAACCGTTTAAGTTTTGAGGGTGATTTACAACCACCTTCCCCCAACCCTTTACAGTTATAAATATGTAAGTTTAGTAATTCAGAATCAGACGCATCTGCCTCAGACTCTTATTAAATTCTAATTCACAAAAACAAAATAAATTTCTTAATTTCAATAAAACTGTAAGTTGAATATGTTATTATTGATGAGGATTAGTGTATTGATGTTTTTTTAAATTAATATGTTGTTACTTTTAAGATAAAAATTTTCGTAAGGAGGTCAAAAGTGCCGTAGCAACCGTGTTTCAAAAACTGTGGCTTAAAAACTTTTGAAATTTAATATGTTAGATATTGCCATAGTGTTTTCTGAGAGGTCTCATCTTTCTATTTTAAATAATGACTAACATTCTTGCATGTAATCAATTCTTCTACCAACGAAAAATGCGAGTGTCTATAGAGATCTGTAAACAACCTAACAATCTTAAGTCTACCTGAGTCGCGATTTGAGCAGATTGCTATTCAAGAAAAGCCCGGTTGTGTTGGTTTAGGTGAAAAAATTTTGTGGGTCTTTGATCTAGTCCAGGGGTCTCCAAACTTTTCAGCCTTAGGGCCATATTGATCACGCCAAGAAATTCTAAGGGCCAAAACAATATTATCATTAATTGTCGCCGGTGATAAAAAGTTGAATCAGTCATGTGAAATATTTAGCCAAAGCAGTGAGACCGAGTTTCCTATCAATTTTGCAATCGAAACTTTCGACTGCTTTAAAAATAAATTTTGATACTCGTTTCTCGGACTTTGATGCCATTGCGAATGAAATTAAGATTTTTCAGAATCCTTTCGAAACTGACATTGAAACCCTAGCCCCGGAACTTCAAATGGAAATGATTGACTTAAAGTGCAGTGATATCATTAAGAACAAATATCAAAACTTATCCTTGTTGGAATTTTATAAGTGTCTTCCACTGACACAATTTGATAATTTGCATAAATTTGCTCGTGGAATGTTTTCTGTTTTTGGTACTACTTATCTGTGTGAGAAGACCTTTTCCAAAATGAAGTACACAAAAAATGTCTACAGATCTAAATTGACTGATGGGCATCTTAAATCTCTTTTAATAATTGGTACAAGTAAAATTAGCCCACAACTACAAACTATTGTCAGTGGAAAATCGCAATTACATAAATCTCATTAGAATTTCATATGTCATTATGCTTGTTATAAGTTATTTTTTTATTTAAAATGTATAAAATGTTGGTTGAATTCATTTCAATAATTTGTTGGTTAGTATATAATAACCTACAACAATGTTATGAGTAGTTGCCCATGATCATATCAATGTAGATGTCATATTAATTAATATTCAACGTAAAAATAGATTACTTCAGTAAACTAAATTTATTTGCTATAAACAACATCTAATCTCTAGTAGATTTTTCTTTCAAGTATACAAGCTCTCCGCGGGCCGGACAAAATCTGTTCGCGGGCCGGATGTGGCCCGTGGGCCGTAGTTTGGAGACCTCTGATCTAGTCGAATACTAAAATTATTTCTGTGCTTTTTTCACCGTGGTTAAACGTAAGTTCGAAGTTAATGGTCGTTGGTGGGTTTTTTGTTTTTTATTCTTTGGTTTTGTAATGTGGTGATTCTTTGATTTGTCAAGTTTTCTTTATATGTGCCTGAGCATTTTTCCAACTGTCAAATTTCTCTGTTTTTTTTTAAATGTCGTTGAGCAGATTATCTCCGACAGAATCGAATTGGGTTGCATTTTTGTTGGGTCTTTGTCGTTTACGGTTATTTGACTTATTAATTAGTGACTTGTCGTCTAGGTTAAGTTTCCTTTGTTTTACTATTTTAATCTGTGCAGCCTTTACTTTAATGGCTAACACGGTTCTCTGTTTGTGCAAGGAGTACTGTGCCCCCTCTGCTGTTTGAGTTTAATTGATGTATGTATTGATAAGCCCAGTGTGTTCTTTTTGTTTTTATTATAGAGTGTTTCCCTTTTACATTTTAGTGTCCTAAGGAAGCCTAAATACTTGGGCGAAAGCTTGACTTAACAATAAAAAGCCATTATTCAATGAGCATTTGCATCTTGTATTGCTCCCTCTATATTAGTTAATATTGGGCGATCCCGTAGTTATTTTGTGCAACAAGTTACCAGTAGCCCCTAACTGTATTTACACTTTGCTTCTAGGAGTAAGAATGGGATAATTCTATCGTAGGATTGGAATCACATATGGCACTGACGTCGTGCCTCCCAGATATCTACAAGATGGCACACAACTGTGGCGCATACCTCAACAACTTAACAACACTAACCATAGACAACGTGAATTTCTAACACAAAAGGTAACTAAAAAAATGCACAACATGACACTTGAACATACTTTGAGGCGACATACAGACTTTCTACGTGGAAAAAGCCTTCCTTTTAATATTTTAGATGATTTTTTATTCACACCGAGCATTCAATACAATTCGATTTTTAGTAAAATTAAGGGGAATAATTTAAAAAAGATCAAAGGATTTTGGCAGGCCGAAGATACAGTTTCTTTGCTGATTATGTTAAATGGTTTAAGAACATTTCTAGCACAACAATACTTGCTGAAGTTTGTGGTTTTCTAGCCATAGGTCCTAAATTTAGCCTCCCTATTCCACCAAGGTACATTAATATTTTCAAACACAAACCTCGTTGGTAATTATATTAATAGTAACACGTGCATCGACATATGACATTGAGAGAAGGACAAGGGAATTTCTGAAAGCTAACTCTAACCTACTAATTACCAAATCTGACAAGGGCAATGTCATGGTTGCCATGTCTAGAGAATCATATATACAAAAATCATTGGAACTCCTAGGAGATAATGCCATGTATATTCCAGTCCATAGAGACCCTACGTCGTCAACATCAGTGAAAAAAATTAAAGAACAAGCCCTTAGTATTATGGCTTACCGAAAGTCCACTAAGAGGACTGCCCACTGTGTCCCATAGTGTCCTGTGTCGGAGAAACTACATTGCCATTAGCATGTTTCGTTGGTCAGATTTTGAGCGCCTCTTTGGCTGAATTTCATTAAATTTAGAATTAGAAACACATTCGAATTTGACGAACTTGTTAACGGTGTTCAAATACCTCAGGACTTTGTGCTTGTTTCTTTTGATGTGGTGTCTCTTTTTACGAATATCACCCTAGAGTTAGTATTGGCAATTTTAGACGAGCATTTCAACAGTTTGTTGATATGGTTCGCTTCCTATATAGTAACAATTTTTTCACCTTTAACGATGCTTGGATCCTTCTCGATTAAATCAATTTTAAAGGAAACCAACCTTTCATTTGCCTACTTGGGATGAAATAGCATCAAAAATGCATGGTTCTAGATATTTTAGTGCTTTAGATGCAACTCAGGGGTTTCTCCAGATAAAATTAGATAAAGAAAGCTCTAAACTTTGCACGTTTGCGACACCTTTTGGTAGATATTATTTCCGGAGATTACCCTATGGTCTTTCATGTTCATCTGAGGTATATCAGCAACGCATGCAAGAAATTTTTGGAGACATAGAAGGCTGTGCAGTTTTTATAGATGACGTTATCTGCTTTAGTAACTCGATTTCTGGTCATAATTTAATTTAAAGCGTGCTGCACAACATAACATTCGTTTTAACAAAGAAAAATGTAAAATTCTATGTCAAAAAGTCTCCTATATGGGACATGAACTAAGTGAGCGTGGCATAGAGGTAGATAGATCTAAGATTCAGGCCATTTTAGACATGCCAAGTCCAGGAAATGTCAAAGATATTCAACGTTTTTTGGGTATGGTCACATATATAGCTCGCTTTGTAGATGGTTTGTCTGAAAAAACCTCAATTTTGCGTTCTTTACTGAAAAAAGATGTAACTTTTCAATGGTCGGGTGAACATGAGAGAGCACTTCAAAACTTAAAGTCAACTTGTAGCGGGTTCAATTTGTCATTGGCTACTTGGACTTATGTTTCTCACATGTAGGTTAATAATGCTCGGAGACTACCTATTAAATGTTTTATTCTCACAATTACACACTGTCTTAATCCTCAAAGCTACTGGTATTGCTAATTATTCTTCACTACTTCATTCTGTTCGAACACACTGTAACTGTTTAATTGCTTGGTGTGGTTTGCCTGTCCTAAAATAAATGTAAATAAGTGTAAGTCCTTGCATTTTGGCTGCAATTTAAGATGTTATTGCACGAGACGATCGTCCTGTATTCCTTCTTATTTCCGAACTAACGGCAATTTCCATTGTTGTCCCTTGGTTTCATTTATTTACACTTGTTGCTTTTTGGAGAGGTTATATTTCAATCCTCTGTCAACGCGAATGCACTCGGCCATTCGTACAGTTAAACACTCGAACTTTGGCACACGTTCGTCTTCGATTTCCTAAGACGTTACTCCGTAATCTCGTTCATATATGTGTATTAATTGGTTTTTATTGATAATAGCGAGTAGCATTTAGATAATATTTGCTCTCCTTACGTTGATTAACTCCTGTCATTATTGGCCCATTGACCCTAGTGGTGTCGGAACCGAACATCGTATTGCCAGCACCATCGGTCTCTTTTTTTGGAACTTTGTGAAACTTCATCGATCTTTCTTTCTTCGTATAGAAGTTGCGGATCGTCGTCTTGTTGGTAGTATGTTGCTTGGACGTCCCCAACATTACAGCTTAGGCTGGATTAAAGCTAACCAACCTAGCACCTGGCACTCTTCACCGCCACCCACGATCATCAGGCGGTTCTGGTTTTTGGTTTTGATTTTGGTTTTCGATTTGGTTTTCCTTTTGGAACCAGTTTTTGATTTTTGGACTGGTTTTGGCTTCCCATTTGGTACTGGCTTCCCCAGTTCCGGTTCAATTGGATTTGGTGCCTCCTTACATCGTGGACGGCACGTGTTATGAATTCTGCAACCCAAAAATTCATCAAGTCTTCAAGTTAGCTCGGTTCAGGACGTTGCAGTGCATATCTCCTCGTCCAAGAGTGATAAGCATTCGTGCCTATCCCACTGACTGGTGAACCCGTAGGCTGTATACAGAACAGCCATCTTAGAGCTTGCCCGACTCGTTCGTTGCTGGTAACTGGAGGATCACAGATAAGCCTCTATTTATGTTCCGGTTAATTTTATGCCTATTAAATACAAATTTCAATTTTTAAATATCAATATAAATTAAAGAGCTCAGTTAGGGTAAAGATAAAGCACACAATTATAGAAACATTTTTTTTGTAAGAATTATTTGTAAACGATCGATCGTAACCAAGCTTCCTGTGATTAGTGTGTACTTGAGCCAATATATGGAGATTTAAACTGACGTGCCGGTCTTATTTATTAATTATTTATTTGGTTTTTGGTTATTTGGGTTCGAACTTTGTTAACTTTGCGAGTTTCTTTGGTGGCTAGTGAGCAAGGACACTAGTCACTATCACTAACTTATAGTATAGGTTGAGGTTTTGTCCTAGCTGGCGCCCCGGTTTCCAACCTTTGATTTACTTTCTTTTTTTATACCCCGCCCATGTTTTGAGAAACTGAGCTGCTTGGGCCCTATACTTACTGCTTCCAATCGGTAGCAAAGTGAGCAAAGTATAGTAGGATTGCTTCGGTCTCCCCTCCACTTTCAGTGGAAAAGAGACGTGGCAATTTTTCTGGCGCCCAACGTGTAATTTTTTTTTAACGCCCAACGTGTACTTTTTTTTTAACGCCCAATGTGTACATTTTCTGGGAATTTTTTAGCACCCAACGTGTAAATTTTATTATTTTGTAGGTTCGTTGTTTTTATAGCTTTTCAAATATTTCTGGCAATTTTTTATAGTTTATTGAGTTTTGAATTAATGGGCCGTCAGTTTGGATTTGTATATTGATTCGAACTGCAAAAAAATACTTGGCTATATTTTTGAATTTGAATTTTGAATCAATGCGGGGTCACTCACATATTTTTGCCAGCGAGTAATTTTGAATATTAGTTATTGAAGATTTTGGGTACTTAGCACTAATTATTTAATTTGTTTTTTTTTCATTGCTCTCTATTGGTGGGCCAATTTTTAGAGCGTGTAGAAGAACTTCGCCATGCCCGTAATGTCTCAGAGGCCGATCTTTTCGCTTCCTCTTTAGATCTTTTTCAGGGAAAAGCACTACTTTGGTATAGGTCTGTTATTAAAAGGTGTCAAAATTGGAGAGAACTTCGTCAACTTTGTATTTCGCATTATTTACCACCAGATTATAAATCTCGTTTATTTGGGGAAATTTTATCCCGTACACAAGGTCCCAACGAAACAAAAGTGGATTATCTCGCTTGCATGAGTACTATGTTTAGCCGTTATGGCAATGTTCCCGAAGAAACTCAGGTCGATATCATTTTAAGGAATTTGGCTCCATTCTACGTTATGCAACTCCCAATTGTAAGCTCTCTTAATGAACTTGAGGCTGAATGGCTAAAACTTGAGGTTAAAAAGTTCCGTGCGGATCACGATAGACCTCCCACTCGTAGGTCAAACCAAAGTTATGTGGAACCCGAACTTGCATATTTGTCAGCATCCACTCAGGAGTTGTCTTTAAATATATCCGAGGTTCATGCTGTTCAAGCTACTTCTTCCTCAATGGTTTGCTTTAACTGCAATCAACCTGGTCATTCGTTTCGTAACTGTTCTGCTCCTATTAACAAGCATTGTTTTCGCTGTAAAAGATCAAATGTCACCGTTCGCACGTGCCCGGAATGTTCACCTCGTGCGGGAAACGATCACAGGAGGAACTAATCGGTCGAAATAGTACCTCCAGCTCTTTGCCTTGTTCGACCAATCATGTTTTTCCTCATAAAGCATTACTCGATTATGTCATATCTCATGCTGATAAAGATCAACGCCCTTATCTTGAAATCACCATATTAGGGAAAACTATTTTAGGAATGCTTGATTCCGGTGCTAACGTTACCGTTGTTGGTCAATCTGGTTGGGAATTTCTTCAGGACTTAGGACTCAAGATTACCTCGCCACCTGTCTCCGTTCATGTTGCCAATGGACAGTCTTGTAAAAGTTTAGGTCGAGTACCAGGGCCTATGTGCTGGCTAGATAAACTTTGCCTTGTCGACGTTTTGGTTGTGCCAAGCCTTCCCCATCCTTTGATCTTAGGTACTGATTTCTGGACGAAAATGGGTATCGTCCCTGACTTGCGCCGTAATGAGTGGCATTTCTCAAATGAGCCTTATGTTTGTCAAATGAATACTGTCTGTGACGTAGTAGATCTGTCTGTAGAACAACGTAATTCTCTTAACATCTTGCTTGATGAGAAGTTCTCAAAAATGGGAACCACTTTAGGTCTTACTAATGTGGTTGAGCACGAGATTATTGTTGAAGGTCCGCCTATTAAAGAACGAAAGAACTGACAAAAATGCTAGAACCTGATGTTATTGAACTATCGAAAAGCGCTTGGTCTTCCCCGATATTAATGGTACCAAAAAAAGATGGAACTCATCGTTTTTGTGTTGACTTCAGGCGTTTGAACGCCGTTACAAAAAAGGATGCATATCCTATTCCTTGTCTCCTCTATACTTGATAGCCTCGGTGGTGCAAAGTACTTAAGTTCCCTTGATCTTAAATCTGCTTTTTGGCAAGTATCAATTAAGGAAAGCAGTCGAGAATATTGTGCTTTCACGGTCCCCGGTCGTGGACTTTTTCATTTTAAAAGAATGCCATTCGGATTAACTAATGCCCCGGCAACCTTCCAAAGGTTGATGGAAAAAGTGTTAGAGTTGACCTTCAACCCAATGTTTTCGTCTATTTGGATGATATAATTATTATCTCTTCAGATTTGAGTCGTATTTGAGTATTATTGGTAAGGTTTTTGATCGTCTTCTAGAATCTGGTCTTACAGTCTCTCGCGAAAAATGTCAGTTTTGTAGACCGCATCTTAAATATTTAGGTTATATTGTAGATACAAATTTCAATTTTTAAATGTCAATATAAATTAAAGAGCTCAGTTAGGGTAAAGATAAAGCACACAATTATAGAAACATTTTTTTTGTAAGATTTATATATATATATATATATATATATATATATATATATATATATATATATATATATATATATATATATATATATATATATATATATATATATATATATATATATATATATATATAATGATTAAAAGTAAGCTTTGAATTTTTTAATCGACCACCAACTCGTAGTAAGCCGCAAGAATCGATAAAGGGTTTCGATGATAATAGTTTTGATTTTGTTGATAAAGGTTTATTGCTTTTTATAGCGACAAACATTTCCGATTGTGCTAGTCTTAAAGTAACATTCATCGACCTTTCGATATCTTCAACGCCTATATTTCCAAAATTTCGGTTTTCTTTCTTAACCTTGCAATTAGAATAGAATCTAAAGCATATTGCTATGATACGTTGTAACCTATATAAGGACGAATATTTTTGGAAAATCTCAAAACCTTTTGCGGATGTAATTGTTAAAACTGTTTTAGTATTTCTTTTTTCGGGAATATTCGATAACTTAATTGTTGCTTGAGGTCATGATTTTTTCTCATTAGCAAGCCACTCGGGACAGAACCACCAAAGTTTGAGATTGATCAACTCTGACGGCCTGACACCTCTAGAGACAACGTCAGCGGTATTTTGGTTTGAAGGAATATGATTCCACTGTGAAGTGTTTGTTTTTCTTTGAATGTCGGCAACTCGATTAGCTACGAATATTTTTAAGGAACTTGGAGATAAATATGCTTGAAATAGCTGAAAGAATGTGTGTTAGTGATTTTTTGGGATTGTTTGAAATTACTGACCTCGTATTTCAAAACATCCAAGTTTGCATGCCATACCAAACCTAAAGTCTTTTTTATTTCTTTTTCATGAACGTAATGTTTGTCTGTACTAACAAAGTTTTCCTTTTCAATTACTTGAACCGCGTTTGAAGTCCATTTTCTCAGAAAAAATCCATATTGACTTAATATTTCATTGATTTCAGTTTTTAATTTGGATGCTAGTTCTACGTTAGGAGCCCCAGTAATTAGGTCGTCCACGTAAAAATCTCGCATAATTACGGCTGATGAATCTGGATATTATTCACGATTTTCGATAGCAGCTTGTTGTAAAGCTCTGGTAGCTAAAAATGAAGCTGGACCAGTGCCTTGCGTCACTGTTGTCAAAACGTAATGAGAAATTGGAGATTCCGAATTTTCGCGCCACAATATACGTTGTAAATCACGCTGATGCTCGGATATTTTAACTTGACGATACATTTTCGCCACGTCAGCTGTTATTACAACATTGTGCTTTCCAAATCTAAGTAGTAGTGAAAATAAGTCGTCCTGTATACACGGACCGATCATTAATTTATCATGTACTTGAAGGACAAGATCCGTCAAAAACTACCCTTAATGCTGTTGTAGTGCTAGAATTATTAATTACCCCATGGTGCGGTAAATTAAAAATGCTTCTATTCGTTTCACTTTCATTAACGAATATTTGTTGCATGTGGCCAAGTGATTCATATTCCCTCTTAAAATGACTTAAAATCACGATTTCTTTTAAACTTTCTTTCAATAGAATGTAACCTTTTCAAAGCGGCATCAAGAGAGTTGCCGATTTTGCCTGCTGTTTCTCGGATAGGTAATGTTACAATGAAGCATCCTGTCTTATCGCGTTTTACAGTTTCCGCAAATATTTTTTCGCAAAGAGTTTCTTCCTCGGTATAATGTTTTACAAAAGAACATTCCTCGATTTGCCAGAATTTTTCCAGCTGGGTTTCTAATGTTCGGTTAACTGATAAATGACAAACAGTCTTTTTTGTATTATAATTTAAATTTAAAGGACCGGAAACGATAAAACCAAATACGGCGTTTTGAAGAGTTGGGAATTTTTCAGTTATTTTATCGAGAATTAAAAACGTTAGTTTGTTTTCAAAATTATTTTCAATCGATTTTATTTTAGCACGCGTTTGATTTGCTATACTGGTCTGTGTGCTACCAACACCTACAACGGGTGTATTGATTTCAGCGCAAGACAAATTTAATTTCTTTGTCAAATTTTGCGTCACGAAATTTGACTGTGATCCGCTATCAAGTAGCGCGCGACAGGGTTGCCAACTTCCATCGCGATCTTGAATTAAAATTGTCGCTGTCGATAAGAGAATTTCTTGAGGTTCATTTTTAATGTTGTGGTTAACTATTAACCCTACCGATTTTGACGTGTTTTCAGCTGAAGTAGATTTTAAATTTTCAACAGAATTTTTTTCCGAAATTTCAGATTTGGCATCTACATGTAGCATCGTGTTGTGTTTTTTCGAACATACTTTACATCGCTGAGAAGTGCAATCTGTAGTGGTATGATTTGAACGCAAGCAATTCGAGCAAATTTCAAGTTTTGTAATTTCAGATAATCTCGAAGCTACCGGTAACGCTAAGAATTTTTCGCACCGATATATTCCATGCGAATCTTTACAAAAGAGGCTTTGATTGCGTTGTTGAATATGATTGAACTTTTTTGTTTCTCTCCCCAGAAAGTTTGTTTTGTTTGATCAGATGTTTTTTGTAACTTGTTTTCAACCTTTACGTTAAATTCAGTGGTTTCCAAAAGTTTGCATCGATCGTTTAAAAATTGCAAAAACTCTTCCAAGGTGGGACTTGTCAACCTTTTGTTAATGATAAATTCCTCCCCAAGATTGGATGTTCTCTGATCAACCTTGTTGATTATTAAATAGATTAATAAAGGATCCCAGTGCTTAACTGGCTCTTTTAATACTCTAAAGCGCGGTACCGTTTTTGAAATTCATCGACAAGCTTTCTGAGACTAACTTTGTCCTTGGAAACCATTGGTAAATTAAATAAACCTTTGATGTTATTTTTAATTGCTAACGTTTTGTTTTCATAACGCTCAGTTAATAATTTCCACGCTATCAGGTAGTTGTCGTTTGTTACTTGAATGGATTCCAAAATTTCTGAGGCATCACCCTTTAAACATCCTAGTAAGTAGTAAATTTTTTTGATATTGTCGATATTTGGGTCATCGTGTATCAAAGTTACAAATAGATCGTGAAATTGATCCCATTTATCGTATTAACCATGGAATTTAATGAGTTCGATTGACGGAAATGATTTGTTAAAATTTGGACTACCTGTAACATGAGAATTTACCGACTGAATTGGACTTTGCGTTTGTATTTGAGCCATTTTTTGATCATGATATCGTTCTACTAACATTTTGGCCCGACCTACGGATTCAAAGTACTTTTCCTCAAAATTTTCGCGTTCACTGCTCTTATCCTCGTTCTAACAGCTCTGCTCCGATTGAACTTTGTTAAATGCCGATTTGTTCTAGCCGCGAAATTAAATTTGCAATTTTGTCATCCGTGAATTTGCTGAGAAATGCCGAAAAACGAATGAGCGTTGCTTTGATTTGACCACGTTCATGTATCAAATCTTTAATTTTTAATGCGTTTTGTTGTTCGAAGGCTTGTGATTCGTTCATTTTCGGTTTTTTGTTTACGTTGCTTACACAAACCGACAAATGCTAAGGATGTGCAAGGGATTGTAAAGGAACAGACTTACAGTTTCTAGTTGACCGTCTGATGACTGACTGATGATTCTGCACTCTACTCTCGCTTTTGCTTCTTTTTCCTTGTGATTTTACGATGATTGAACTGTTTTTCCATGAAAACCATTCCGCTGAAGGACCATAATGTGTGGGATTCCGATTAGTGACCCGTGCTCTCGTTATTGCATTCGATTAATCACTACCAAAATTTCTTGATAAACTAAATTATATTATGATAAATTATATTTTCTAAAGAAAACAAAGGACTAATATTCTTTAAATTAATTACTTAGCCCGGTACATGAATGCTGACTCTAGCACCTTTTTGCGACTTCTTGCCAGAGAGACTTATCGAACTGTTTGGACCAGTCTGGATCGGCATCGGATCAAAACATTCCAGGGGCCGGCGGCCTACGATGGACTCGCGAAGCCGGGTCACGCGCCTACTATGTTGCGTTGTAATACCGAACATCTACAAATGGGGTTATTCAAGTTTGTGTTTCAATATCCTTCGTTGATTGTTAGACGCAGGAAGGGGGAGAAGTTTGGCTTTTGAGAGTCAGTTTACTTTTCACGTTCAAGTGTAGAGCATCTGCCAAGACAAGCGTAAGTCATATTTTGAAGTATTTTTTCATTATATAATGGTTTTTTTCGATAAATAAAATAAAAACTTTTCTTATGCTCAATTAAATAAAAAAATATCTACTAGTTTATTTTTAATTTTGAATTTATTAAGTTATTTTAAAAATTACAATTGTCATAAAAAATACACAAGAAGGAAAAATTGTGTAAAGTAAGAGGTTTATTAAACGAAATAAGTTTTTTGTCCATAGGCGTACAAAGAGAAAAGTTGGGAATACAATACTATACCTTTTTATGTACACAATCTTCATGAAAATTATATGTAACTCGCCACAGTAAATAATAGTTTCAACAAAATATGTGAAAAATTGGGAAAATGTTATTTTAATAGTAAATTTTAACGCCCTGTATTTTAGAAATTGGTCTCGAAAATAAAAAATAGCTTAATGAAAGTCACAATATTTTTCTCATATTTCGACTCACCCCGTACAACATATTTAAATAGAATAATAGTACATTATGCAACAGCGGAGAGAGTGTTTAATAATCGAGTGACTTAGAAAGTTTGCCAAACGTGTTGCATATTATACTTTTTCTACGACCGTTGTATTAGTCTGTATTGTTAATAACGAGTAGTGTTTTTTCAACTCTTATTATGTAGTTATTTATATAAAGAATACTTAAAGACTTTTCCTGAAGATTTTGTACCTTCGACCCGGTGACTCCTTGAAAAAAGAAAAAATGGTAAATAGAGATATATATCTGTATACCGAGCTTGTGGCCGTCGTTGGTAGGTTACGCTTTTCAAAATTGGGTACTTGAAATTTCGAGTCCCTATCGAATTAAATTTAAAAATTTACATTACACTCGTCGCTTTCAACAATAATATGACTTAACATTCTTTTTTACCGTTTATTACATTTTTCGATTCACTATTTGCTTCTCATTATGCTTGCTTAATGTTTACCATAAATACCTAGTTCAGGTTCAATTTTATCATTTTTTTTCTCCAAAATATGATAAAACTAAAACTTTAACTTAGCTGCCTTAGGTCAGATTTATCTAGATAAATGTGTTGCATAGTATACAGGGTGATTTAAAATTAACGATTCTGACATAATAAACGCAAAATTCTAAAAGTTTATAAAATTTCTTTTAAACAATATATAATATGATATAGGTATGTAGGCAGATTTTTCTAAATAACTGCCACAATTTTTTAAATATTATCTTAATATATTTCTCTAAATTAGCTATAAAACGTGTATTTTGTATAAAAATAATTCTTTTGAGGTTGTTATATGCCGAGCTATCCCTCTAATTTCTTGACTTGAACCGTCATTTTGTGGTCACACAGATACATTTTTTCATCTACGTTCTCAACAGCTTTAGTGCTGGGTATTTGTTCAGTGCTGGGGGTGCGATTTATTACCATAAATTTCGTTTTTTGACTTTTCAATTGACAAAGTTCACTCTCTCGACTCTCAATAAGTCTTGATATTTTCTGCTCATCTTTGGCCATTAGTGCTCCTTAAGATTGCGATTTTAAAAGATTTATTTCAACGTAGTTAAGCAATCGCAGTAATTTTGATATGTAGTGTGTTGAAAATAAAAAGAAACGGGGTTTCAAAATCTTCAATTAAACTGGAGGTGGAGGTGATTTTTTATTTTCACCAGTTGGGTCATCGTAAATCTGACATTGAATATTTAGCTTTTTATAGTAAGCTTTTTTAAAAAATAAATTAAATAAAAAATGATCTCTTGTCTTGATGTCATCCGTCGATCGGTTTCCGAAAAAATCTTATTTGTTTATTAGAACTAAATTAAAGAAATAAAAAAAAATATCTAAAGCTGAGATAGTTTGAAAATAAAAACATTCATTAGTTACACATAAAAGAACCAATCTAAATTTAATTTTTAAGTTTAACTCACCACTATATTTTGCTCATTTTTGGTTGGCATTTGCTGCTTTTTTAGTTTTTTATATAATAACTAACCAAAACTAAAAAAGAAGGAAGTTTCAACCAAAACTGTTCGGAGGCAAACTTGAAAAATTCAGTAAACTAAAATTTTTTAATTACACTATTATACAGACCAACAAATATTTTGTGATTTGGTGTTTTTCATATTTTTACAGATATAGGGACTGAGCTAATAGAAGTAAAATGTTTTTCGTTTGTGTCGTGCAACATTTTTTAAATTATTTTTGAGATGTCATATTTATCGGGAGCAAAGTAAGAAGTTCCACCAAAATATAAAAATTTGAACGAAGATGTCAGAAAGTAGCAAGATATTTCATAACTAACGGAAGAATTTTAAGTGGGGTGTCTCTAAAATAGTTCTATTTACCACTACTTACATTAATGTCTAAACGTCTGTCTTGTGGTTGAACAAGTAAGGTGACTTTATTGAAACAGATAAGACCGTGGAATCTACTTCCTGGTTTGAAAATAAGCTTATAGGAACGAAACCACTAGATCAATAAGTACACTTATATAAATAAAAATATTGATTGATTGATTGATTGTGAGCTAGCAGGACAATACAATATCCGATATTCTGGTTGTTGGTTAGATAGTTGGTTGGTTGGTGTTATTGATTTGGATTATCACTGAAAACAATCAATTTACAAATAGCGGGGGCAGAATCTCCCCTGATTCAATTTCTAGTAAATGACTACTTTTCATTCTTCCAGTTATCTTCAGGTCTTTTGTTTTCCTGATTTTACAGTTCTTCAGTTATAATACCCGAGATGTGGAGAAGACAATGCATGGCAATCAGTTCCAGCGAAACCAAATTAACCAATTAAGTGATTCGATCTCAACCACGGTTCTTGTAAATTTATATTTCGGTTTTTTTCTATGGGTATCCTTAATGTGTAAGTGTAAGGACACACAAGATTTGCAGTAATCGAATAGAAGTCCCCTTTAATTAGTTTTATAATATTACTCAGGTGCAAATAACGCAACTGGTTAACATTTATTACAAAGAGAAATATTTTAATTTTTGTATATGTATTTAATCTCATTTTAAAATATTTTTTCCTTAAATAAGAAATTTGTGGTGAGAAAGTATTCTTTATCAACTTTTTGTTTTTTTGTTTATGTATTGCTGCATTCGTTCGTTTTTAAGAGCGAAATAATTAACCAAAAGTTTTTAACTTTTGATGAGATTAATTTGCTGGCCCGCTGCTGCCCTTTTGCCAGGGTTATAAGCGACAAACTATAATAATATATAATATTTTTCTTAAAGCAAACTTTCATTTCTCTCTTATTTTTCGCATTTAAAGACAACCAACGCACAAAATTTATTCCACAGCGTGTTTTAATATTATGGTAAGTAGTAACATTTTCATGGCCAAAGCAACACTTAACGAAATGCTGTATATAAGTAAAAGTTATCTTATCCTCGGCAGTTTCTAAAAATTGTACAAATTGGACAAATAAAAAAAAAATACAATTTTACCAAATATTAACTTTTTGCATTATTGCGGAACTGTATTTATATGGTAATCAAATTGTTGGTTTTTGGATCTTTGAGGTAGTTTGGTTTGCCGATACCCGAAATAAACTAAAACTCGGACGAACGTCCACTGCTGTGGATCCGTCTATCGTCTATAACAACATAAGCAAAGAAAAAGTGCATTGGATTGTTTAATAGAACAATTAAACTAGCAATCTTGAAAATTTCAATACCAGAAAACTAAATGGCGACAATTTTGTAATCTATTAGAGCAGAAAGAAAACAAAGAGTCTATGATGGAGGTAATAGCTATTGACGAACACACTTAGGCGGGTATCACGTGTTTCTATAGGCTATAAAAAGCAACAATGGATGATGTAAATCCCAGAGTAGACCCAATTGCTGGTTCCTACAGGTAAAAATGGGTAATGAGTAAACGTACTTTTAACAGATTTTATATAGGTGTCCGTTTTTCTCCACCTCATCCTGGTCCTAAAAATTTGAATTTTTAAAAGCAATTAGTTTGCGGTCATCGAATTAATTTTGTAGTCAATCTTTGAAAATGATAAGTGGGATCTTGGCGAAACGTCTCCGAGACCCCAATCGGATATCAACAAAGGAACGGATAAAATGAATATTTATAAGAGGATAGAGTTCAGTCATCGGTTAAATTAAATGTGCAGGTGCTGCAATAAAGTCCGCTGTTCGTAATACACAGTTCACCACCAAATCAATGATTGCATTGCATTATTTGCATTAACGTCTTCTTCCTTTGCAACAAACGCGAAACCTTTAATTAGCACTTCGGTTATTCTGAATTCTCTTGACTTGTTGTTGCGACAAAATCTTAAGTAAGTCATTGTTTCCAGAGTAATCAGTATTCAGTATCAAATTTATTTTAGATCACGTCAGGAAGAACCGCCTTTGGCATATTTGTGATTGCGGTACAGTTACTTTTATAGCTGCGCGTGCTATATCACCTTTACAGCATTACAAGGAGTAGTTGTTGAGGTAAGTCTTTTGCATCGTTGTCGATCTTTGTTACTTGCAAAGGAGATGTTTATTGCCTTAAATATATTTATCTAAATGTATATAAAACCTTTACAGCATTGCAAGGAGTAGTTGTTGAGGTAAGTCTTTTGCATCGTTGTCGATCTTTGTTACTTGCAAAGGAGATGTTTATTGCCTTAAATATATTTATCTAAATGTATATAAATTCGTTGTAATGTACGGTTTGGTCACAATAATCTTGATTCTTTACACTGAATGACACATTTCTGTAATTTATGGTAATTTGGGAGGTAATAAAGACAAACATAAAAACATGGGTCTTAAACTAGACTTAACACGTAAAAATTAATATATATATATATATATATATATATATATATATATATATATATATATATATATATATATATATATATATATATATATATATATATATATATATATATATATATATATATATATATATATATATATATATATATATATATATATATTTTATATTAAAAATAAAACATATTTTCAGCACTTCAACAAAAAAAAAACAATTACTGGAACTTACTATAAAATATGCTATGCTATTCTTTCAACAGACAGTAAGCATCGATTTTAATTATTGATTGAAAAATGTTTTTTTTACAGCGCTTGTCACTTTTTCTCACTCGAAAAAAATATGTAATACGGCATATATGTGGTGACGAGGTGAAAGTTTTGCTAGGGCTGGATTTTGGAGGTGGAGGCCTTGGGTACATCACTAGGAATAATGATTTATCAAATAATATGAAATTGTAGATCATAACATTTTCTTCAAAATTCTAAAAGTTGAACTAGTTACATTCTACATTATCCACTCATTTTTATACCACTTATGAATTAATGTACTTGTTGAATTTTATAGAAAAATATTGTCTTGATTATTGTTATTAATGCAGTTCTGATTTTTGTTAATAATTTAATCCGATTCAAACTCTTCAAAGTCGATTTGAACAGTCTTGCCTTCTTCGAATTGTTACAGATTTTTCGACTGTCAGATGATGAGCGACTTTATCTCCTTTTTCGATCAAAGATTTAAACTAATAACTGTAGAAGTTTTACCTTCTATCATAGGTGTATTGCAAATTGTAACATTTTTGCAAGATATGCAAAGTTCTAAACTATCATTTCTAATGTTAAGAATTTTGAAGTACCTGATTTTTGTTGTAAATAAATACAAACAAATTATTAACATTATTCGGTTCCGATAAATGTTCTCTATAATTATATTTGGCTGAGTCAAGGTAACGCCTCTTATTGCTGTTATTATATATTTTGTGGACTAGGAATATTAAATTGGCATAGGAGTAGGAGACGCTTATCCAAGCGGGCAATCCATGTTTCTGTCGAAGTTGGTGTTTACTCGTTTAGAATCCAAATTTTCATGAGCAATATTGTGACCCATAGAAACGAGCAGTAGTCACTGGAAGCGAGATGTGATCCGAACTCCTGAAGTTTCTGGCTCGTTATTTATCATGTTTGTGGCTTGGTGTTGTCCCCACTGTCGTTATAATAAACAGTAATTTATAATAGAGCCTATGATAAAGGTAAAAGCTATTGACGAACACACTCTGGCAGGTATTTATGTTACTGAAGATGGCAAACTTTAAATTGTTGGTTTCTGCAGGTAAAAATGAGTACTTTTGACGATTTGTACATAATTGCCCGTTCTTCTCTACTTCTATAGTCTGGTCCTAAATAAAATCTTCAAGTATAGATACATAGAAACGAGCAGATAGTAGTCACTGGAACCGAGATGTGGATTTACAACGAACACACTCTAGCAGCGGCGCAGTCAAAATAAGAGTAGCGACAAATCTATCGGCGAAGTAGTCCAACTTTCGTCACGAACGAAAAGAGTTACAGCCAACATTTTATGATGTTCAATATTAAATTTTCATAGGAAAAGCGATATTGTTGCCCCTAGTCACTGGAAGTAAGATGTGGATGTGCAAGAAACTCCCATTCAAACAACTGAAGTTTCTGGCGAGTCATTGTTGATGTTGTTGACTTGTGGTTGTCCTGACTGTCCTTATTATTAATAGTAATTATTTCTGAAATTCTTCAAAACTCGAACACGGCGCAGTCAAAATAATCTACAGAAGACTGTTGCGACTACGAGGTGCAGAGTGCCGTTGCCTGAACTGAGTAGGGTAATATCACCGCAGAAGTAGTCCCAACTTCGTCACGAACGAAAAAAGTTACAGCCAACTTTTAATGGTGTTCAATATTAAATTGACATAGGAGTAGGAAACGCTTGTCTAAGCAGGCAATCCATGTTTTTCTGCTAAAGAAAGAGAAGGTTGTTGTTTACAATCAAAATTTTAATCAGCAATAACAGCAAACACAAATCTGTCGGAGATCTTGCCTCAAGCGGTCTCATAATTCATCGGATCCTCCAGAAAACTGTTGCGACTACGAGGTGCAGAGTGCCGTTACTTGAACTGAGTAGGGTAACATCAAGAAGGTATTCCCAGAAGTAGTCCAACTTTCGTCACGTGCAAACCAATTGCAGCCAACATTTAGTAGTGTTCAATATTAAATTGGCGTATGAATAGGAGACGCTTGTCCAAGCGGGCAATCCATGTTTCTGTGCTAAAAAGTGGAAGTTGTTGTTTACAAGTATAGAATCAAAATTTTTATGAGCAATATTGTTGCCCATAGAAACGAGCAGATGGTGGTCACTGGAAGCGAGATGTGGATACGAGGTGCAGAGTGCCGTTACCTGAACTAAGTAGGGTAACATCAAGAAGGTATTCCCAGAAGTAGTCCAACTTTCGTCACGTGCAAAAAATTGCAGCCAACATTTAGTAGTGTTCTACTTCTATAGTCTGGTCCTAAATAAAATATTGAATGTTTGAAAGCAATTCGTTTGCAGTCATCCAGCATAGTTTTTGAAAATTCCTTAATTTGCGTATGGTAAACCAAAGTAAAATTACTTTATTTACTATCAATATTATTTTCGTTAGTTACGAAAACTCGGGGTAAAGAGTTAATACCCGTCAAGACATTATTTAGATTGAAATGTTGAAATGATACATTTCTGAAATATTTTTTAAATAAAACTTGTGTATGTTATTTATCAAGTTAACTGTCGACCAAAACACAACCAATCCTATATATGTAGCAATGCGAAATCTGCAGGTTTAACACCAATTAAATTAGTATAAATATTTATTTTTAATTTGTGAAAACTATTTTTATTTGTTTTCTTCTGTGACTTCATGGTATCTTCCTTCAGCTGGTATAGTTGAATTTCCCTCTTTTGGAACTTCGTAGAGAGAGGAAGAAGTCATTAACGCAAATTCCACCCAAAATTAACATTTCTTATATGAATGGCATTCAATATATCTATCAAGACAGACATTCTGCATTTGGAAAGCAGTGACAGCTTTAATATGATTTATTAATTACCGTTTCCGTTTTGTCGTCTTGTGGGCGAATTATTTTTTTTTTAAGGCTCTTCTTGTTTGGCACATTTGGCAACCTCACGCCTGATTAATATTTTTCACTTGTTTTTGTTTATCTTCATTTTCTCTTAAGCTCGAATACCACCATTTAAATGAGACAATTTTGCCAGGATGATGTATTGAGAAGAAATTTTAGTTTTTCGACCCAGGCTCTATCAAGATGCGGCGCAGTCAAAATAAGAGTAGCGACAAATCTATCGGCGATCTTGCCTCAAGCAGTCACAAAGTTCACGGGGCCCTATAGAAGACTGTTCAGACTACGAGGTGCAGGGTGCCGTTGCCTGAACTGAGTAGGGTAACATCAAGGTGGCGCTCCCAGAAGTAGTCCAACTTTCGTCACGAACGAAAAGAGTTACAGCCAACATTTTATGATGTTCAATATTAAATTTTCATAGGAGTAGGAAACGTTAACTGAAGCAGGCAATCCCTGTTTTTGTTTCTAAAAAATTTCAAAATTTTCAAAATTTTAATTAGCAATATTGTTGCTCGTAGTCACTGGAAGTAAGATGTGGATGTGCAAGAAACTCCCATTCAAACACCTGAAGTTTCTGGCGAGTCGTTGTTGATGTTGTTGACTTGTGGTTGTCCTGACTGTCCTTATTATTAATAGTAATTTATAATATAGCTCATGATAAAGGTAATAGTTATTGACGAACACACTGTGACAGGTAATTGTGTTTCCGAAGAAGACAACCTTGCCAAATATATGTCTTTCTATAGGCTATGAAAAGCAATAATGGATGGCAGTAAATGCCAGAGTAGGCCCAATTGTTGGTTCCTACAAGTAAAATGAGTCTTTTAACAATTTTTATATAGGTGCGCGTCTTTCTCTACCTCGATAGCCTGGTCCTAAAATCTTGAATGTTTAAAAGCAATTCCTTTGCAGTCATCAAATTAATTTTGTATCCAATCTTTAAAAATGCTAAGTCGGATCTTAGCGAAACGTCCCCGAGACTCCAATCGGAACATCAACAAACGAACGGTTAAAATGAACGTTTATGTGAGAATCGAGTTCAGTCATAAGTTTAATTAAACGTAGAGGTGCTGCAATAAAGTCCGCTGTTCGTTACACAGCTCAGCTCCAAGTCCCGATATCGGTTCTTCTGAATTCTCTGTACTTGTATCAGGGTTGACTTTTAGTTAGGCTTAAAGACCGGATACGTCGGCGGCTATTCCGAAATCATTCGACTTGTCACCTCATTTCGATTTCGATTTATTAATTACCGTGAGATAAAAAGGCCCACGCATGTAACGATTTGTCGTTCTCATAGCAAATCAGGTTTCAACGAAATGCGGAACTTCTGTGCGAATTTTTTAAATAATTTTTTGTGTCGAAGGGCTCTTCTTGTATGGCACATTTTTAAACTTCACGCCTGATTAATATTTTTCCATCATTTTTGTTTTGCCTGCAGATCGCAGTTTTTTATTTCTGAAATTCTTCAAAACTCGAACACGGCGCAGTCAAAATAATCTACAGAAGACTGTTACGACTACGAGGTGCAGAGTGCCGTTGCCTGAACTGAGTAGGGTAATATCACCGCAGAAGTAGTACCAACTTCGTCACGAACGAAAAAAGTTACAGCCAACTTTTAATGGTGTTCAATATTAAATTGACATAGGAGTAGGAAATGCTTGTCTAAGCAGGCAATCCATGTTTTTCTGCTAAAGAAAGAGAAGGTTGTTGTTTACAATCAAAATTTTAATCAGCAATAACAGCAAACACAAATCTGTCGGAGATCTTGCCTCAAGCGGTCTCATAATTCATCGGATCCTCCAGAAAACTGTTGCGACTACGAGGTGCAGAGTGCCGTTACTTGAACTGAGTAGCCAATTGCAGCCAACATTTAGTAGTGTTCAATATTAAATTGGCGTATGAATAGGAGACGCTTGTCCAAGCGGGCAATCCATGTTTCTGTGCTAAAAAGTGGAAGTTGTTGTTTACAAGTATAGAATCAAAATTTTTATGAGCAATATTGTTGCCCATAGAAACGAGCAGATGGTGGTCACTGGAAGCGAGATGTGGATACGAGGTGCAGAGTGCCGTTACCTGAACTGAGTAGGGTAACATCAAGAAGGTATTCCCAGAAGTAGTCCAACTTTCGTCACGTGCAAAAAAATTGCAGCCAACATTTAGTAGTGTTCTACTTCTATAGTCTGGTCCTAAATAAAATATTGAATGTTAGAAAGCAATTCGTTTGCAGTCATCAAGCATAGTTTTTGAAAATTCCTTAATTTGCGTATGGTAAACCAAAGTAAAATTACTTTATTTACTATCAATATTATTTTCGTTAGTTACGAAAACTCGGGGTAAAGAGTTAATACCCGTCAAGACATTATTTAGATTGAAATGTTGAAATGATACATTTCTGAAATATTTTTTAAATAAAACTTGTGTATGTTATTTATCAAGTTAACTGTCGACCAAAACACAACCAATCCTATATATGTAGCAATGCGAAATCTGCAGGTTTAACACCAATTAAATTAGTATAAATATTTATTTTTAATTTGTGAAAACTATTTTTATTTGTTTTCTTCTGTGACTTCATGGTATCTTCCTTCACCCAAAATTAACATTTCTTATATGAATGGCATTCAATATATCTATCGAGACAGATATTCTGCATTTGGAAAGCAGTGACAGCTTTAATATGATTTATTAATTACCGTTTTGTCGTCTTGTGGGCGAATTTTTTTTTTTTTAAGGGCTCTTCTTGTTTGGCACATTTGGCAACCTCACGCCTGATTAATATTTTTCACTTGTTTTTGTTTATCTTCATTTTCCGGCAAATCGCGTTTTTTATTTATCAATTCTCTTAAGCTCGAACACGACCATTAAATCGAGACGGTATTGAGAAGAAATTTTAGTTTTTCGATCCAGGCTCTCTCAATAAGCGGCGCAGTTAAAATAAGAGTAACGACAAATCTATCGGCGATCTTGCCTCAAGCAGTCAAAAAATTCACGGGACCCTATAGAAGACTGTTGCGACTTCGAGGTGCAGAGTGCCGTTGCCTGAACTGAGTAGGGTAACATTAAGGGGGCACTCCCAGAAGTAGTCCAATTTTCGTCGGGAACGAAAAAAGTTAAGCCAACATTTTATGGTGTTTAATATTAAATTTTCATAGGAGTAGGAAACGCTTGCTCAAGCAGGCAATCCATGTTTTTGTTGCTAAAAAATTTCAAAATTTTCAAAATTTTAATTAGCAATATTGTTGCCTGTAGTCACTGGAAGTAAGATGTGGATGTGCAATTCAAACACCTGAAGTTTCTGGCAAGTCATTGTTGATGTTTGTGACTTGTGGTTGTCCTTATTGCCCTTATTGTTAATAGTAATTTATAATGTGGCACATGATAAAGGTAAAAGTTATTGACGAACAAACTCTGACAGGTATTTATGTTTCCGAAGATGGCAAACTGGCGGAATATTTGTCTTTCTATAAGCTATGAAAAGCAATAATGGATGGATACTTCCAATCGATGATGTAAATTCCAGAGTAAGCCCATTTGTTGGTTTCTAAAAGTAGAAGATGAGTCTTTTAA